AGTTCATATAAATTAATAAATTAATCTATCATAAACTAATATTATAGCTAATTTGTCTTATTTAAACCTTTTTGTTCTTGGCTTCTAGCTTATATACTAATGCTACATTATACAATTCAAGAAAGATGCATGAGTGAGTTATATTATAATACAAATACTACAATTTTTAGCTTAAAGCGAGAATGAAGACAAGGGAGCACATACAAACAGGAACTTGTACATTTATTGATGCATGCATTTATTTGAGTGATGTGTCTTCAATTATACGAAGGACTGAAGGATTATTATTGGAGAAAGGCTCATAAAGCATATAATAGGCGTAATATATAATAACTATATAAAAGTGTGTGGAAGTAGGGTCATATAACTCATATTTACCTTATTTCCACTTATTTAATGAAATAAAATATGTTCTGAAAAATAAAAAAAACTTATTATAAGACTACCCAATGAGGTGTAAAATACACTACCTGCCCTAAAGCAATCAGATGTAGGATGGTTTGAGTTTTGTTTAGGGTATGTCTAAATATAGTCATTGATATATAAACTGCTAGTAGATAAAGTTATGCTACTACTATCATAGAATCAAAGTAACAAATACAGCTATTTCACCAAATGCCACTGAGCACTTTAATAATTCACTAAATGTCATCAAGGTTTTCAAAATTCACCAAATGCCACCGAGTTTTTAAAAAATTCACCTAGTGTTTAATCATGACACATGTCGTGATATGATTGGTTCAATTTAAAAAAAAATCTTTAAAAAAGGACAAATTTTCAATAATTTTTTTTAAAAATTCCTAACCCTAACCCAGCCCCACCACCAACACTGCCGCTGCCGGCAGCCCAACCTTAGCCGTTGGTATAATACCCCGTATTTTTGAAAGGTATTTTCTAAATTAAAGAGTATTTAGTCTCGTATTTTCGACGTATTTTCTAACTTAAGAGTATCTCAGTTTTGGAGCCAAAATGATATTTGAATTTTGGCGCCTAAATCATTTATTTTAATTAAATGGATAAACTAAAAATTTTATAAATAGTATTTTGATTAAATGAATAATAAAACAAAACTATATTAATTAATAAAATTAGAGGCATTTTCGAATATAAAAATCTGATTTTTGTAAATACATTTTCGGATTTTTCCAATAAAATCCAATTTTACTTAATATCTTGCTAAACTAATTATTTTCACATTTTTACAATTAAAAATCTGATTTTTACTCTAAGTAAAAGTATTTTCATAAAATAAAAATCAATTCCTAAACTAATGAAACACATTTTCGGATTTTATATATTAAAAATCTGATTTTTATTAATTATTTGCTAAATTATTTATTTTTATGAAATAAAATGATTTCCAAAATTTATCAAATAATATTTTAAACTTTATATAATAAAAATCTGATTTTTATACCTTAGTATAGTCCAAATTCGGCCACCCTAATAATCTAGCAAGAAAAATTGATTTTATTCTTCCAAATACCTATAAACTTATTAAATCTTTAATTTTTGACAAATAAATTATTTTATAAAATCCCTAAACTAACATGATAGGTCCGAAAATAAAATCTTTTAAATTTCTTTACTTCCATTCTTAAACCTAAACATATTTTATTCTATGTCATCCTTGCACTCCAAGCTTAAAAACTACCAAATGGAATTTCATGATCAAAACTTCCATAAATTATAAACCCTAAAATGCCATAAACCCATCCCCTAAACACCTATAAATACCCCTTTCATACACCCCAAAAATCACATCAAAAACATCAAGAATCTCTTCTTCTTTCCCCCTCTTTCTCACGGTTTTCCTCCTCTCCCTCCTTCCATTTTTCCGGCCACCGGCGACCACCTGCTGCCGCCAGCAGCCGCCACCTCAGCCTGCTGCAGCTCCTCCCTTGCCTTGGTTCCACCACCTTCCTTCGATCCCTCCTTTTCTCTTAAACTTATTTTATTAACCATTTTCTAAATATTATTTCTTATACAAATTAATTTTATAAAAACAGAAAATTCTTTAAATTATAAACAGAAAATTATTTTTATATAATGATAATTAATTCATGCACATATAGGGTAGTTTAATTAAATTGTTGTGTTTATTTGATAACCTTACATTAATTAAGGTTATAATTATGTGTAGGGTGTTCGTGATTTGGAGTAGTAGTTGTGAATCGCTCTTGATTGATCAAGGTACGTTATGTGGTTTGATACCTTCGAAAGTTGATTATGAAACTACATTTTATGATCGTATGAAATTATAATCTGTTCCGTATGAAATTATATTTGTGAAACTATAAATTATGTTCCGTATGAAACTATGATTTATTATGAAACTATAAATTACTATGTTCCGTATCAAATCATATTTTATTACATTCCGTATGAAATTATGTTTTATGTTTCGTATGAAATTATGAAATTATGTTCCGTATTAAATTATGAAATTTTGTCGGATTGAATTAAATGATTTGGATTTAAATCAAAAGGGCCTTAAATTGTGATTGGAAATTATTGGAAATGATTGGCAAGTTTGTTGTTATGTAAGTGTGATGGATTTTTAAAGACGAGTTTTTAAACAAATCAATCGATATGTTGAATCCCACTTAGGGAATGGTTTAGAGAAGACTATGGACTTTGCATGACCTAGTCTTTCCTCAAGTTTGGCCTTTGATTATAAAGTAAACCACTTGAGGGGTGTGCACACTTAGTGAGGAATTGGTTTGAAATGAATCGATTGAGTTTTTATCTTGAATTAAAAGAGTTGGATTGGAAAAAAGTTCTTTTTGCATACGGCATTGGTATTTCTTTTATTAATTACACGTAAATGATTTAAATTACGTTTTACTTATCTTACACATGACTTACTTAGTATACTTTGCTAATACGTGCTTTTGTTTTGGCTTTGCCCTGTTTATCATTTATGATAAACAGGTGAATTTTTCAAGTGGAAATTGATTGATGCATACGGGAGTCCACGGGAATTTCACCTAGCTAGGAAAAGTTTGAGTCATTTTTGTGTCACGAATTATGAACGAATTTTTATTATGGTTATTTAATAAAGAATAAAGTTTTTCGCTGCAAAAGTATTTTGTATAAGCCTTGCGTTATACGCGGCGGTAGTACGCCCAAGCCTCTCTCTACGGTATTTATACGTATTTTTCTGCAATTTACGTAGAGAGAGATTTGGGGGTGTTACAGTTGGTACTCCCTGCCCCACCTTCACCGTCGAAACCAGCCCAACCACCACCCCTAAAACCAGCGACTTAGCGCCTTCCACTTTTTCCCCTCACGAAAAAACACCAAGCGTTTTCCAACCACCGTGCAAAACAACCCTTCCTATCCTCCACCCTTGAAACGACGAAATCGGCCATAGAAATCGACCATTCTGGATTTCCATGGTTGATTTCGGTCGTTTGAGGGTGAAGAGTTTCCATGGTCGGTTTCGGTGGCTACCGTGATGCGTTGTGTTGGTGCGTCAGGTGGTTGCGGGGGTTGGGGTGGGGATCAGGGCGGGGGTCGTCGGGCAGGCGAAGTTCTGTGGGTCATCGTTTGGGTGCTGGAGTCGGGAAGGCGGAGTTCTGGGAATTGCGTGAGACGGTTGCGGTGGCTGGGGAGGTTTTTTGGGAGGAGGAAAGGGGGATTAAGTGGAGTCGGCGGTTTTGGTGGGGTCAAGGGGTTCCAGAAGGAGGTCAAGGGGTTCCGGCAGGTTCCGACGGGAGGTTAGGGGGTTCCGATAGGAGGTCAAGGAGTTCCGGCGGTTGGCTTTGGGTTGCCGGTTGGCTTTGGCTGGTGGTTACGGTGGTGGGGTTGGGTTGGGTTGGGTTGGGTTAGGATTTAGAGTTTTTTTTTTTAATTTTATTTTTATTTATCTTTTTTTTAAACAAATAGCTGACTGACACGTGTCCACATGTGTCATGATTAAACCCTAATGACTAATGAAGTTAACGGCCGTCAGTCATTAATGGCACTCGGTGAATTTTTTTAAAACTCGGTAGCATTTGGTGAATTTTGAAAAACTTGATGGCATTTGGTGAATTATTACCGTGCTCGGTGATATTTAGTGAAATAGCCGTAACAAATATACAACGTATAGAGAATATATTTTTGTAACTACGGAATAATATTTAAGAAAAAATAATAATAATAATAATAATACTTCTACGTACCAAGCATAGCGTTACAAATTAGTGAATTACTCCATATCTAATACAAATAATATGATAACAATATGAGAATATGCTGAAATTCAGATGCTGAGATTTTTCTATATGTTATTTGAAGCAAATTTTCTACTTATTTGAAGCAAATTAAACAATTCGTATTATATTGTTACTAATTGCTTAATAAATACTATCGGTTGCTGTGGTGTAGTGGTTATCACATTAGTCTTACACAATAAAGGTCCCCAGTTCGATCCTGGGCAGCAACAATTATTTTTTATATCATTATTTTCGTAACAATTATTTAAAATTTGGTTTTATAGTCACAAGAAGGAAGCTGATTTCAATTCTTCTGTTCTTACCTGAAGTGCCAAATGTTTGGGCATGTTTTAATTGGGAATTTCCTAGTTTTTCACCTTGATAATATTTATCAATTGCCAATTTCATAATTAAGAGAAATGTATAGTTTATCTTAGCAAGTTTGTACATAAGGTTTTTTTAATTGTATATTGACTCCTTTAAGAATTTTGTTATAATACGATTCTTAAGATAATGTACAAGTTATATATGTTCGGGATATATATTATCATAATTGCTATATATAATTTCAATTTTTTTTAATACATTTTGAATATAAGTAGATAACTTTGGTAACTCTATGTTTATACAGTATAGTTTGTGATTGGACCGTTTAATACCTTTGTTGATATTTAAATGCTTTGATTATGCTATCATGGTAGGGTGTCAATCCTACACCATGAGCACATAGCGAGGAGAATGTAAGAAGGTGTAAAGCTACAACGAGTGGCAAGCGGGTAGGGGGTTGATATGCTACACGGCCTGCAACGGCTATTGGGCTTGTCTAGGCATTGATTAGCCACTTGGTCCTACACTCCTACACCACCATCGAGCAAATAGTGAGAAAAAAATATAAGAGGGTGTAAAATAGAGTAAGCGCTCAGCGCAACCAAATTGGATTTGATGTGCTGCAAGGCCTGCTACAGCCATTGGGCCTGTCTAAACAACATGAGTACCAAATTAAACCTCATCAAACCCAAACAAAAAAGAAAAATAAAAAAAATCAAGAAAACCAATGAATAAACAACGGCAGTTAAGGAAAGTGATATGTAAACAACAGGATACTTTTCTGGAGAAAATCCCAGATGAATTATGAACAAAAAAGGTCTTGCAATTTTGATGAGAACTCGAATGAAACCAACAAATTTTTCTCTTTCTCCTGTTACTGTAAGTTTTCTATTTTAATTCATTCGTAATTTTTAATTGGATTGGGTGGTTTTGATTTTATTGATCTGGATGTATTTGTATCTTCAATAATATTGTGTTATCAATTGATTTTTCTCTATTTTTCTAGCTGTCATTCATTGTTAATTTTGTGTTTATGTAGAACAAAATGTCAGCGAATTCAGAGGGAAATGAACCCAGAAAACCAATTTCAGCAAATGATGGATACCCAAAATTTGATCACAAGCTCAATTCCCCAGAAATCCATGAAAGGTCCTTTCTTTATTTCTTAAGAATTCTGGATTCTTTTAGATGTTTTAGGGGTTTTGTTCTGTTAGTTTTGGATTTGAGTGATTTTTTTAGCTCACAATATTATTAGTTTTTTGGCAAAATATATGGTTTTTGGTTCATTGTCTTAATGTATATATAATATTATAGCTAGTTTATAATATCTGCTATTTTTAGAATATGGTATCAGTCACTTTAGACTATCAATGTAATATAGTATTTCACAATGAATATCAGTGGGCATATAATTAACAAAGAACTTATCTGAACTTAGTTTTCTTTGATTTATCTCATCCTAATTTTATGTAATAAAGACTTCATAGTTATTCCCCGGTCATTGATAATGAATTTTCAATTTCAGTTTGTAATATCGATATTAATGTTTATTTGTTGCATGACATTGAGGGATGATAACTTGTTAGATGCAGAGGAATTGAGCTTGTGCGGGAAAGAATGCACTCAGCTATATCAATGAACAAGACTGAACTTCAGGATAATGTTCTAAGTGATTTCTCTGAGGTGGTTTTTATGCTCACTTTCTTATATGTTGTACTGTATCAATATGGGTTCTTATAACACCTGTGAGGCTTATCATTATTATCACTTTTTATATAAATCAGGGTTATTATGGTCTTTCTATTGAAGACCGACGAGAGTTACTTATGGTACTTGCCAAAGAGTACGATCTCAACAGGACCTATGTTCGTGATCTTATGAAGCAATATCTTGGCCTTCAGCTTCCTGCTGGTTGGTCTATTGACTTCATACACAATAATTTTTGGTGCATTTATATTGACAAGTGAAGAGGAGTTTTTAATACTGTAAGCTCTCTGATAGGCGATAAATGTGAAATTGGTGTTGAGGATGATGGCTCACTTTCCACTTTTTACCGCACTGAGAAACATTTGAGGCATGCACTACAGCCAACTTATGAAGTTCTGTTTGAAAGGTTGAATACCCATCCTGGAGGATTGAAATTCTTATCAGTACTTCGTGCTGATATTCTTTCTACAATCAAGTAAGAAGATGTGTTTATCATATACAATTGCTTTTCCAAATAATTATATGCAACTTACAAAGACACTTATGTTTATTAGATTGGCATCGTAATGTAACTGTAAAGTTTATTGTATACTTGAGGAAAAAAAATGTCTTGATGCATGGAAAGTACATGTTTAATCTTGTAAAGTTCTTTCTTGAAGAAGTTTCCCTAGTTTGATGATAGGTATTTCCTCTCCTCTCATCACCTTGGATGGTGATGATTGTTGGCCATTACAGCCCAATATACCTCAGTTGTTAAATCATTGTCGATTGGGCATATGCTTTGACTGACAAAATCAAGATTGGAGAGGAATGTTATATAGATCTTTACATTCATGCTGGGTAAAATAATATCTAGAACATACAATTTCTTTTTGAATGATTTTTAGAGTGTGGTATAACTTTGCACTAGTCTTGCTATGATGATACATTTTCTTAATTTCTTTTGCTTCTCTAGCTTGTAGGCTATTAGTAACAAACTAACGAAGACATGGAGAGGAAACATTAACCTCTGTATATTGGACTTATCATCTTTATAGGGAACACAACATTCCATCTTTGCGAGCACTAGATTCCTACTTAAAGGAGAAGCTTATCACATGGCTAAGTCCAGCTGCATTAGAGCTTCACCACATAACTTGGGATGATCCTGCTTCATTGTTGGAGAAAATTGTTGCTTATGAGGTTTTATTCCGATTTTTGATGCTTTTAGATGGCAATTTAAAATGCTCGGTTGATTGACTAATAAAGGACTGTTCATTCTGGTGTAAAGGCTGTTCATCCTATCAGCAGTCTACTTGATCTTAAGAGGAGACTAGGAGTAGGTCGTCGCTGTTTTGGGTATTTGCATCCTGCAATTCCTGGTTAGCCCCTCTCCTTAATGTTTACCTCCTTCCTTTCCTTCCAATCATCCTATATGTATGGCCACAGAGAAACTGCTTTATTATAATTTATAACCTTGTTGAATTCATGAGTACCTTGACTAGTTGACTATATGACTGGTCTTCAGTAGTCTGGTGTAGTTCTGCTGCCTTCCTAATTGCATACTTTGTGTATAGTAGAGCTGATCAAAGATGGCCCGGCCTGAATTTGGGCAGCTTTTTTCGACCCGGCCCAATTTTAATTTTTTTGGACAGGCTTGGGAATGCATTTTAGAGCTATTTTAGTTCTTTCTTTGGCCCGGCCCGAAAATGGCCCTAGAAGCCCGCACGGCCCGGCCATTTTGGGCGGGTATGGGCATGGAATTTTCGGCCCGAAACTAGGCCCAACCCGGCCCGAGGGATGGGCTATTTTTTAATCCCCGGCCCGCCCATTGATCAGGTCTAGTGCATGGTGAATTGGTGAGGGCGTATGCTATTGTTCTACTACTTGATCCTTATTAGTTGGAATTCGGGCCGAGCAGGCCAGCTTGGGCCGAATGCCGGGCCGGGCCGAGGTGATGGTGGACCGTGCCATGCCGGACCATCAAATTACACACCCTAGCCCATGGCACGGCACGGCCCACATGCCCTTTTTTTTTATTTTTTTACAAAAATCAATTTATTATTAATTAAATAATTTTATTATTTATATATATATATTTTTTTATTATTTATAGTTCTTTATATTATTATGGTTCATTTTATTATTTTTATTTTTATTATTAATTTATTATAGTTCTTTTTATTATTTTTAATTTAATTAATTATTAAAAATAATTGATAATTAATTATTTATGTTCTTTTTATTATTATAGTTCTTTTTATCATTCTTATTTTTATTATTATTGTTCTTTTTTTTAAAACAATTATTATAGGTTTTTTTTATTATTATTTATGTTATTTTTATAATTATAGTTCTTTTTATTATTTTTGTTTTTATTGTTATACATCTTTATTATTATTTAGCAAATAGCAACCATGCATATATTTTAAAAGTTTACGAGTACTACTTACGAGGATCTAAATATAGTATTGTAAGTAAAAATAAGGAATACAGGAAGATTGTTTAATTATTTAGTTACAACTCATTAATCAAGATTTACTTAATTAAACTCAAGTTTAATATAGGTCGAGACTCGAGAGTAAAGCTTAAAAAAAATTAACAACATTTCTATTTAATCCAAGGATAATGATAAAAATCGTACAATAATTGATGAATAACTTATTTTGTTATACGGGTACGTTAATATAAAAATAATCTATAATTAATGGTATTTAATCTAATTATAGTTCTTCTTCTTCTTCTCGTTCAAGGTCATCAGCTAATTGAATTGATTGGGAACTGTTAGAACCCGAACGATCATAACCAGACGTTCCATCATGGTTGTCGTTTTGTGCATAAGTACGATCTTGCGAGCGGTATTCGTCATCCAACCAATCCTTGAAACGCACACACATTTTAAGTGTTTCGGGTTTAAGACTTGTTCTTTTATCGTCTAAAACCCTTCCTGACGCACTAAAAGCTCGTTCGGAGGCAACAGAGGAGACTTGGATAGCGAAAATATCACGTGCCATTGTCGCCAAAATTGGATGTTTCGTGTTTTGTACTTTCCACCAATCAAGGAGGTCGAGGCCGTACTTCTCTTCTTCGTCCATGTCTTTCATGAGTCATAACTTAAGTACATTTGCAACTCCGAAACATCGCTATGTGTTCTCCTAGACGATGATTCACGATGATTCACTATCTGAAAACTTAGACATCATGTTAGCAGCTTGTGCAAATAAACCTTTAGCCCTTTTACTTATGTTTTTGGATGATTGAGAAGGAGCAAATCGAGAAACGGTTCCATATTTAGATTCATAAACTCTATATAATGCAAAAAATTGATTGGTCATATTAGCTTTATAAAACTCAACATCATCATCAAATTGCATGTATTGAAAATAGATATCCATTAATAGAAATGTGCCATCATACTTTTGCCTTGAATCTAATATAGAAGCAAAAATATAAATCATAGGAAGATTGGTGTAATATTTACGCCATTTTTCCTCCATTGATGGAAGATATTCATCATAATTGTGTTGGGATCGATGTTCAGCGGAAGAAAAACAATGTGTCATACTATATAATAATTGTAAAAATTGCATATATTTTTCACAATTAGACCAATCTTCTTCTAGTAAAGCAAATTGTGGAAACTTTTGATTAAAAAAAAAACTGTTGGTGGAACCTTGTACTCGATTGCCTTACTCAACATTTCATAAGTGGAGTTCCACCAAGTTGGACAATCCATTTTTATTTTGATACCCTTTATCTTTTGTTGCCTAAGAAAAGTTTTCCATTCCTGAAATCTCATGTTAGAAATGTTAATAGTAATAATAGCATTTCTAATTTTGTGATAAAATGGACCAATTGCATTAGTTCTGTCCTTCACACACAAATTAAGAACATGAAAAATGCATCTAATATGAAATGCATCTCCATCTAATATGACATCGGTCAATTGTTGTTTAACTAAACTTGCACTATATGTCATGGATGTTGCATTATCAAATGTCATAGACATGATTTTGGACCTAAGATTATATGCATCAATAGCTTGCATTAAATGGTGAGAAACATTAAGACTGGTGTGGGGATATTCTAGCATTTTAAAATGGATAATGCGTTTTTGTAAACCAATCATTATCCACCCAATAACAAGTCACACACAAATAGTGATATCCATAACCACTATCCCACGTATCTGCGATCCAAGAAACTCTACAAGTAAGATTATTTAGTTCTTCAATTAACCTTATTTTGTACTCTAAGAAAGTTTTCATGGCAGCTGAACGAACAGTTTTTCTAGAGATTTTTTTGTGTTGCGGTTGTAGTGCTCTATTAAAATTGTTAAACGGATCATTTTCGGCGAAAAGAAAAGGTTGTTCAGCATGTACTAACATTCTCCCAAGTTCATCCCTATCCCTCTCATAATTGTAAGCCATGTGGATTTGGTGATTACCTACGACTACTAGTACGTATGAATTTGGTTTTCCTAGAGGATGAGGAGGAGGGATTCGGGTTTGATGCCATAATTAAAAATACCACAATTAATTATAACAAAAATTTAATAATTAATAGCAATTATAATAAATTAATAATATAAATAATAATAATAATAATAACAATAATAAGAATATCAATAACAATAATAATAACAATAACAATAATTAATTAAAATAAAGATGAGTTAGATCTTACAACCAAGCTTAGATTGCTTTCCACTAAATAATTTCACGAACTTTTTTTTTTTATTTTTATTTTTTTATTTTTTATTTTTTTAAGAATTTCAATAATTGAGATTTGAGAGAATTAGAGATTATAAGATATTAGAGAATAAGAGATTAAGAGAATTGAGAATAGATGAGTTGATGCATTGTGGAAAGAAAAGGATAATGAGTTGATGTATTTATAGAGAATTAGAGAAAGTAGTCGTTAGAAGCAAAAACTAGCCGTTAGAAAGCAAAAACTAGCTGTTATATAAGCTATTGGGAAATATGGTTGTTGCTCGTGTCGGGCCGTGCCGCAGGCCAAGATTTTGTGCCGCCCACGGGCCACTAGCGGGCTCGTGTCGTGACGTTCCGTGCCTGTGCCGGCCCATGCCCACCTCTTATGTTGTTTTTCTTTTCTTTCTTTTTCTCCTCCCAATGGCTAGGTTTTTGTTTTATTTTTTCTGTTGTTCCTTCTACTACGTATTAACTTCCTACTTATTCACCTGTGTTCATAGTATGTAATGTTTTCCAGTTTCTATCATTCTATGTCCTCTTATTATTATTTGTTATTTTCTATCTGTGCTTTGGGGTGTGTGTGGTGATTGGGGGGTGGGGGGCTGTATGTTCACCTTCAAGCATCAATATTTTGACTTGTATCAACTGGATCCAAATACAAGTGATGAAGCTGCAAGTTTGTGGCTAACTGTCCTACCACACTTCTTCTATGTAACAAGTTTGGTTGTAACGTGAAAGGCAATAAATTTCGGTACATGGCTGTGACTGTGAGTCTTGTGACGTTGTGTTTTCTGCATCTTCGTGTACAGAGTAATAATTTCTGTTTTTGAAGATGATTTTTGATGCATGGAAAAAATGTATTTTGAGTTTTATTATTGAATTGAAATCTTTAAATTTATGATATATGATAAATACCAATTGTATTAGCGCTAATCCTGGAAGGAATAATCAAATTTCAGGTGAACCTCTTATATTTATTGAGGTAGCATTATTAAAAAATGTTGCTCAGACTATACAGGTACCATTTCTTATTCATTTGTTTATTTATGCAAATCTCAACATCTTATCAGGTTCGTCCTTATTTTGTGGGTATTTGTTAAGGCTTGTTGATTATTCAGGAAGTTCTCTGGGATGATCCTCCAATACTTGAATGTGAAGCAACTTGCGCATTATTTTACTCAATCTCATCTAGTCAGGTGAAATACGAGTAGTCTTGTATTTTCTCTGCCCCCTAATGATAATATCTATTGAAGTATTGAACCCATCAAGCTTCTAATCTTCAGATTTTTTTTATTTATTATTATTTTTTTTTCTTTTATCTATAACTATTGCGTCGTATTCTTTGTGCCTTAATATGCTTCTCAAATTTGGCAGCCAGGCTTGGCAGGAATTAACCTTGGAAAGTTCCTTATTAAACGTGTGATTGAACTGGTGAAACAAGATATGCCACATATATGTGTAAGTACTTCTGGTACCCAATGTATCCATCATAACAATGGAATATTACTACTTAAGTTCTTTAATAAATTATGTAGCCTTTTACAATTGCTTAGATCTTCTGTAGTAAGTGCCTAGTGGTGCTAAGCTTAGTAAACCCTGCAACGGCATTATATAAAATTAAATCAAGCTGTTAAATCAAGCTATCCTAATTTTGACGCATAGTATTTTATTTCCCTTTCTTGTGAAGACATTTGCAACACTTAGTCCGATCCCTGGGTTCATGAGCTGGCTGATATCAAAGTTGGCATCACAATCTAAGCTTGCAGAAGCAGAGACTATAGACATGTCAGGTTCTTCCAAGGAAAGTACAGGTTCTACATTCAGAGAAGATGTGCTAACAGCAGAGGAAGAGAGAGAAGTCCTAGATAAACTGGGGTGAGCTTTTATTTAATACTCCGTATTGTGCAATTTGCAAACTGAAATGCAGCAAACTAAGGATTTCTTCCTTAGCTTTTTAATATGCAATTATCCATACATGATTCCTGCTTTGTATGAGGCTTTCATGAGAGAGGGTATCATCAAAGTTTATGTTGAAAGATGAGGAATTGTTAATATTTAAAGGTGCAGCTTCTTCGATAACGTGTTTGATGTTGCGGCCTTGTGGGTGCATGTCATATTATTTCTTAGAGAAATCGTTCATTGATTTTATTCTTGTTTCAACTAATGGTCATTACATTTCAAATTCTATATTTGAATTTATCTGGTGTTCAGGACATGTAAGAAAAGTTGAGTGCTTTCTTCCTCTTATCTGGATGTTGTGGGTGGGAGAGAAGGTTAAATATTTTGTCTTTGTACTAAATCAGGAGTTTAAAATTTAAAAGGATGAGTTCTCTTCTCCTCCTCTAATCCTCTCTTACTGGTTTATTTATGTTGTTTTTTAAGCTCTGCTGAGTGCTGATCAATCCTGAAAATATGCCTTGCAAATGCCTTAAACTGATGAGATTGTCGCCATTGGTTTTCTGTGTTATGATGTTTTCAAAATTTTATTTTCTCACAACCATTTTTTGTTTGTTTAAAGAGTATACTTTGTAGACTCGTTAGATTCTTAGGCTGTTATTCTGACTTTATAAATTGCAGGGAATCTACATCCGGAAAAACGGGTATTGAAGTCATACTGAATTTGCTGAAATCTCCAAACCATGCATGGAGCAAATCTGATAGGGTTTTGTCAGTGCTGAAACCTATTTTGATGCGACTTTGTGCCAGGTACTAGATGCACTTATGGGATTCTGAAATATTCAGAGTATTTGACATAATGAGAAATAATGTTTAGTAATAGAACATGATCGAATATGGTCTCTTGAATTATGTAGAAATTTGCTATGATGCCTTCTAGGCAACCAATTTAAGTTGTTTTGATTCTTCAATGTTATTGGATTTCTGTTCAGGTACCTTCTTCAAGAAAAAAAGAGAGGAAAAGCTCTAGATGCTGTTGCAAACTTTCACTTGCAGAACGGAGCGGTAGGTTCAAGAACTTATTTTGTTTTCCAGAAGCTGATTAATTTTAAGACTGGTCAAAGCAATGATTCCTCTTTTTTCAATTTGAAAAGAAAGAATTTACAATATGAATAAACAATATGAGTTTTTTTTTTTCCTTTTTTTCATTTTCTTTCCAGGTTTTAGAGTTTGAACTTTGAAACTCAGGGTGCTTAATTTTATGTGTTGAAATAATATCTAAGCATTGACACTGTATCATGCTACTATGAAACAGATGGTCGAGAGGTTAAACTGGATGGCTGACAGATCAGAGAAAGGACTCTCGCAAAGCGGTGGTATCATGGTTAATTATATGTACAGGTACATATACCTGTCCAAACATGCATGTTTTATCTGTGCCCATCCGTAAGTAGTAAGGATTATCTTGGGTTTCTTATTGTCGATAACCTAGGAGGTATTGGTATATATGATGGTATGCAGCCTTCATCTGAAATTTAATCTCAGAGTAAGGTGCATGACAGCATGTTGGCTCTGTTTGATTACAAGGATACATCACCCTCTGCTCCTGTTGTTTAATATTGGTGTGGGAGGGTAGGGGGGATAATTTTTTCATATTTTTCTGAGTCTAATTGATCTTTCTATTCTAGAAGGATTTTCTTTTTACCCTCTCACTTCACCTTACTTTGTAGTTTTGTACCTTCCCTCGCTGAAAAGGTTCATAGTTTGTACTGTAAAACATACAAGCAGAACATAGGGATGTTTCCCATAACCATGGAACTATTAATGATGAAAATTTCTTTTGTTCAGTTGAAACATTTTGCAATTAGAATACTTTGAGTGCAAACCCCAACCAAAATGGATATTTAATCTAATAATCTCCCGCACACATATGTTTTGTCAATTTGTGTCATCCTCACCTCTGTACAGGCTTGAAAATTTTCAATGATATTGCAGGTTGGACAACATTGAAGAAAATGCCCAATCATATTTCAGCTCGGGCCATGTTAATGCTGCTTCAGACCTTTGGAGACTTGTGGAATAGAGGTAGAATACTAATTTACACTAGTATCACTTGGATCTTTATACATGTGCAGATTTTCTTCTACCAGCAAGCACGGCATAACAAGTTGAAGTTTTCCTGTAACAACTAAATGCTTCAAGTTTTCTGGTAAAAATGTACAAATTATACATATCAAACTGAATTCATCATGTAAATGCCTTGAAATCCTATATTTTGGTTCACTTGTTAAATGCTGCTCTTCTTAGTGTGCTGGCCATCATGATTATACTCAATATGTTGTCCCACTTCTAATTTTCGACCTGACTTGTTTCCTGGACATAATCCCTCATGATTTTTGTGTTCGAGTCGTTAACCATCTGCATTCACAGGTCAGTAATTTAATGAGATGATTGAAAACAACAGCTGTAAAATATTTTAAGATAACACCAGAAAGCCTTTCTGGGATGTCACTATTGGAGAACTAGTGATTTTCCGTGGTACTGCTAAAATATGTAGTGTGATCAATTCCTTTTATCCAGAATTAGTAGTCACATTAACTAGTTTAAGTACCAGGAAAAAGCTGTTACATTTACTAAAAAGTTTTGCTTGGGATTCCTGAGTTAAGATGGAGTTTATTTTGGTACCTTGACAGCAAGCCGATTCAAGTTGTCCCACTCAAAGTCGTTCTTGCAGTAAGCAGAGCGAACCTGGATTAAGTACGAATGAGAACTGGATTTTCATAACATAAGTAGATAACCTTAGGGAAGCATGTTACAGGACTGACCTCGAGAATTCGTAGTGCTGAAACAGTGATGTTTTGTGTTCGTTTCAAAGCAAGTCACAAACACTTGTTAGTTGCTTGAATCATGTTGAGAGTTATTGTTGAGGTTAAAGAAACATACCTAAGCTTTTATGCATTGGGGATTCTCTCATTAAATCTGCACAAAACTTGTCTCCATCTTTCAGAGAGTGTCTATCCAAGAAATCCATCAAATCCTTGTAGGCTTCAGGGTTATAGCTCTGCTCTGACAATACAAAGTTATCAGAATTGAAATTTTAAGTTCACATTATTCTAAACTGTAATGTCTCTTCTCTGGCACAGTTGATATTTTGTGTTGGGTAATTCAGATCGGATAATCAGATATGGGATGCTGTTGTCAGGTCTACACACACGCACGCGCACACACACACAAGACACAACACTAATATGCACACATTCTCATAATGATCATAGTAGAGAAGAAATGTAAGAAGCAGAAATTGTAGAGTTACCTCAAGTTGGGCAGAAACTATTTTGACTGCAATGTAAGTGAAGAACTGGTGGAGATTATCTGCTGCCTTCGCTTCCGGAGATGCTTCTCCAAATCCTGCAGGAAATGAAAAGTGAGTGACAGATGAGTGCAAGAACAAAACAGTTCATGTTCTTTTCTTATTCGTGCCTCCAAAAAGTCTCCCATGAATTCGACCCCATAGCCTACAGCCTACAGGGTCGAAAACTCGTACCTCAAAAAAAGGGAGAGGGAGTAAAAGAGAAAAGAGTACCAGGGACAAACATCTTGCCACAGTGCAGATGAGTACGCAAAGAAGTTTTGAACTTCCATGGAATTGATGTGTGAGATTTAGTGATGTTTGGCTTTGGTGTTAGAAAAGAGGGAGGAGAAGAAAGCCTGAAGATCGCAGAGGATTCCATTGATGAAACTTCAAAAAAAAAAATGAGTTTTGCTGCCACAAATGCAAAGCTAATATCATCCATAAATTGACTTGATATTGATATTGAGTAAAACTAAAAAATATCTTTGTCCCATTCTAGAAAAATAAATAAATAAAAAAATCTAAAGGCCTGTTGTCATTAAATTTAAAAATTGCAAAGTAAATTTATTATGGAATATATGATCACCTCATTTGTGATGATTACAAATTAACAATGAGTAAAGATTTGTGAAGTAGATAAGTGATTTAATTATTTTTCTGACTTTGGAGGATATTCAATGACTGAAGTTTTATGACCATACAATATATCTATATACTTCGTTTACTTTTTTTATTTTTTTAATTTTTTGTAAAAATTATTCTCTATAATAATTATCACAAGAAGTTCGAACCAAGCCAAACCCAAAAAACAATAAGTGAAGTTTTAGGGTTTTTTTTTTTTTTTTTCAAATACTATTACCTCAATTTGTGACCAACAAAAAGTTGCATTTAGACCCAACAATTATCCTTAGATGTTCTCTTCCTTCTTGATTTTTGCAACATACAAAATACAAAGTATGTACCTTTTAGTGGTCAAACTTTACAAAATACAAAATATGTATCTTTTAGTGGTCAAACTTTACAAACTTTAACCGTATATATATTATTTACTACACAAAATGTAATAAAAATATGTAAGAACTTATATTACATTTGTATTGATTTGTACATAATTAGTAGTTATGGCCAAAATTTGTATTGGAGAAAGTTAAAAAATATGTTACAATTTGCTTAATTAAGAACGGAGGAAATATACTTCTTATAATTTAAACTGATTCGGAACAAGTCAAAATTGATTAATTATAGTCTTATAAAGTAGTTGTGATAGAACTTGTACAGAATCAATATTTTCTTTCATTGGAAGTACTATTCACATGAATCATACTTGGAGTATGTTACCTATACTCCCCCCCCCCCCCAACACACCCTGTCTCTCCATTATAAAGGGAATGCTCATGTCAATCAAATGACAATTTTGTAAATATTGTTTTGTCTTTCCCTTCTTACTCCTTCCTCCTTTCTCAATTATAATGACAGATTTCCACCACCATCATCTCACTCTTCTTCTTCCCGTCTTCCTTTCTCAACGACCCCAAAGCCGCTTCTCGACAATAACAAAAAGACACCCTATTTGTAAAGAGTGTAAATTAGGGTCATATAAACCCCTTTGGGAAAGCTTATACTTCATGACAGCATTTTTAACCACCATAGGTGGTGGTGGCAGTGGTGTGCAGTTATGGTGTCGTGGAGGAAGAAGCTACTTGACTATGATGGGAGGATTGCAGAAGAGAAGAAAGACATTTTTATCCCAAACTTTACTGAGTGAAAGACAACACAATTTGTTACTCATATTGAGTAACTTGGATTTTCCCCACTATAAATGCTCCAATTTGACTTATTAATGTTAGGGGCCGTTTGATTTGCATGGGTAAACGGAATGGAATGAAATGAAAGATAATGGAATGAAAATCCCTCAAATTCAGTGTGTTGTTGTTTTAAAAATCAAAGGGAATCAAATCCACCACATCACCACCTCACCACCACCACCACCACTACACAACCCCCTCTTTCTTCACTATCCTACTTCTCCAGCCACCCCACCCCTCGCCGCACTTTCTCTCTTCCCAAACAGCTCTCCCCCCGAAAACCTTCCCCCACCCTCGAAAAAACCCTAGAAACCCTTCCCCAACCACCCAGCCACCCTTAAAACCCTTCCCAACCACCCTCGAAACCCTTCCTAACCACCCTTGAAGCCGCTCTTCCTCTCCTCCCAAAAATCGATTTGCTTTCCGGCTAGACCAAGAAACCGAAACTAAGTACAAAAACGGTCGGCGAGGGGTGGGGAAGTTGAGGGAGGGCAGGCCGGCCGTTTTACGGAGATGAGGAGGGTCGGGCGACCATTTTACGGAGAGGAAGAGGGTTTTTTTAAGTAGTGGTATCGGCGGCTAGGGACGACTCTAGTGGTGGCTAGGCAGGGGACGATTCTGGTGGCTACGTGGTGGTTTTGGTGGTTGTGTGGTGTTTTCAAAGTTGTTGAAGGGTAGTTATTAGGTGGCCATGGTAGTTGGGTGAAGAGGAGTTCAGGGGTGAGAGTGATTCCCTTAGGGGGGAATAAGAGTAGAGGAAAGTTGGGGAATGAGAAGGGTAAAGGGAATGATTGATTTTGTCAAACAAACAACAACAAATGGATTCAAGGTAGTTGATTACCATTCCCTTTCTTGAAGACCCCCAACCAAACACACCCTTAATGTTTTCTACATAAGATTAAACATACTCATATTGGTACTTATTAATCGTCTCAATGTGTGTTTTTCAAATATGAACTACGAAGTACAAGTACTTATAATTTATAATTATCAATAATTAAAGATATTATTTGTCATCCCTTGCGTTCACAAATGTGCTTGCCGAACTTTTTTTTAAAATTGAGGGAGTAATATTGAGATGGGATTGTTTTTCCAATTATTTAGTTTCCGTGAGCAATCTAAGCATCACCCAAAAAGACATTATGCAAAAGTAAAAGATTATAGGTATACCAATGCAGTTATTTGGAATCAAACTCAAAGAATTTTGCTTAAAGACTAATCTAAAACAAAAGCACAATAAAAAGGAAACTAAAACTCAAAATCTCGTTACCAAACATCAAAACACTAGAACAAAATCCAAAATCCTATTAAAAAGGGTTTGCAAATTTGCATATGTGCTATCCTTGAACAACCTTAGCCATGCCATATGCAGCAGCAGAAGCAAGAGCTCCAATCAGCGCAGTTTGAAGAGCACTCTTGATCGGTTTACTGCCAGTGAAGTGGCCTTTTGCGTAACCAAAGATAAACAGCGCGATTAAGGTTACAATAATGGATGCAACCATAGCTTTCATTGCCACAGGGATGAACATGTAAGGAAAAAGGGGGACTAAACCACCAATTATGTAGGCTATGCCGATTGTAAATGCACTTTGTAGGGCTCTTCTTGGGTCTGGCTTCTCCAAACCTAGCTCAAATCTGCAACATTGTTCATCACAATTAGTATAATCGGCGTAAAATCATCAAATTCAAAGTTGGCAGTACGTTTAATGTAATTTACGATGTACTTCAAAGACTCATGATGATATAACTTCGGTTGTGTCCTAAATAATTGAGGTTGTGTACTCGTATGTAAAATGACTCCGGTTATGAGTTTATTATAACCAAAATTTGTGATCAAGTAATTTAGCCAATCCATATAATCAACCTATGAACCTCCAACCAATATAGAGTATGGACACTTCATTTTGGATCAAAGTCACGATTTTTCACAATATAGCCAAATCCGACACTTGAATACGTACCCAAACCCGAATATCAATTTGGCAAGTAGCAATAGAGAAAGTCAACCGCGACCAACATTATATGTAACTATGTAAGCTCAAGTGCTCAAGGCCACTGCCAAGTAGCAGAGAAAATGCTGGTAAATCTAGGAGAGAAAATTGGCTTTGTCTCAAGGTTAAGTCAGTCTGATATTTCGTATAATATAGGGTATGTAAAAAGCTGCAAAGTCAGCCTGATTTTGGCTAATTTGGGGACCTCAAAGATTGGACCTAAGCTTATTAGATGCTCAGGTTCTGGCTTATACCTCTGTAAGATTCCAATTTCCAAACATTAATTTGAGCATGCATATACATGATACCATGACCCAGGCTAACGACATTTGTATTTTGATCATTTTCAAGGTAAAAGGGAATCATTCATTATGCTTTAAGTATCCCCTTATCCTTAAGAAAAAAAAAACATAATTCTTTCTAGCAATATTATATGGTGTCACATTTCATATCTCATGGAGTATATAAAGGTTCCGAACTTTTATTATTTAAGAAAGACTTTGTCAATAGCTGTTTTGACATTAATGAATAATAATAAATAAATATTTTTGCAATGTTACGTTACATTAATAATTTCAATGCTCCTCTCCTCAACTCTTTTCCTTCTCTCCTCCCTTCTCCCTCTACACGACAATCACCAGAATCTACTTCTCTTGCCTCTTCTTCCCCTCTATCGCTCTAGTCATTAATGATGATGATCACTTCCCCCCTTCCAAGGGTAGGTGTACAAGAATTATGTTTAGCACTAGGCTCTAGTGCTAAACATGGATTTTCTCGTACAATTGACCTTGAAATCAATTGGTAAAACTTGTATATATACGAGTAATATTCTTGGTCAATAATTATAAGATTAAAGGAATACACGATAAATATACATGTACGGAGTATAAATTTAGCAAGCATTTCTCATTGATTTGAGCAAATTAGTTTTTCTTATGTTCAAATAAGTTTGTCACACACTACTACTATTCCACATAAAAACGAAGTGCTTCGTATGTGATAAATGAAAATTACATACAAGGTGCCAAATATTACGAGGGGTTCAATATTAATCCAACTAAATACAAAAACAAATTCAAAGACAATGATGCTGCGTTGACAACCTAGTCGTCTAGTCATAATCACAATTTTGTCCAATTCCTAATTATGAATATTAGTGAATCTCCTTAAAGAGAAAAACTACAAAACTTTGTGACTTGTAATCCACATAAAGATGTCATCTAATCAAGTAACTTTAAATTGATAAATTAGGGAGTAAGATTTTTAAGCAAGATTTAGGATTACACTACCTAAATGTGCTTATATGGAAATGTGCTTTTTGTGAAGTATATTCTACTATCTCCAGTTGCATATAAAATATTCCAAAGTTGCATATAAAAGTAATTAGAGGTAGTACTAATTTTAGATACAATTCATACTCTGATTGATCAACCATTTTATGAAAAGCGTCTACATCTATAATGTGTCTAGCATCTAATACGAGTACTTATTAGACATAAACCGAAGATTATGGACAGTATAAATAAGTGCAATTATGTATAAACTTTGAGGGTAGAGAAAAGAAGGACTAACTTCATCATAAAGTCAAGCCAAGCTTGAGGCTTTCTTCTAAGAGCATTTACAACAGGAGCATACTCATGTGGCTCTATTCCATACTGCGCCAATATCTCTGCTACCTCAGCAGCCTCTGCATTTTATCATCCATTTAATTATTTTCATCATTTTTCAAGTTTAATTTCTATATCCAACCCAAAAAACATGCAATTGATTAGATAAATTAAATAGAAAACCGAATTTAGACCCATTTAGTCATTTAGTCAATAGTCACACTCATAGTGCACATTTTATAAGTAAGTATTTTTTAACGCACTGACTTATACTCTTTCCGTACCGCAATACATCAATATCTTACTTATCCATATGAATTTAGAGCCATTTAGGCAATGGTCATAGTGCACATTTTACTAATACTCATTTTCGAGTTTCAACTTGCATTTCACATTTTACTAGTACTCGTTTTCAACATGCACGTTATACTCCATAAATTCAAACATCATAAGCGAATTTAAAGTGTACCCATCTTGCACCCAAGTGTATACAAGAAATTCTCATACACTCCATACTACATAGTTAATATTCCATAACACGTTACTGAAATATAGGTAGGTCAAGATCTTTAGCAATATCCTAGTTCGAACATTTAATTATTCAATAGAAGATGTGACTCCCACTATCAACATATATGTCATCACGTTTTGTATATTATCTTTAATACTTTTATTATTGTGATAGTGATAATGTGGAATAAAGATAACCACAAAATTCTCCTAAACAAAAACAAACAAAAAGATAATGACCAAAGCAAATAAGCTAAACACCTGTATCAGGCACTGATATTATCTCGTCTTGTTCTCTCTTCAATTCCATTGCATAATGATCTGCCTCGCTCTTCGCCGCCAAATACCTTCAAAATTTATAAATCAATTAATTAATTAAAGAATTAATCATTCATTAAGAAATCAAAATAAACATGCTAATCTTATACTGTAATGTACTTTGGTCAAACAATTCAGGGATATTCTCCTACAAACTAGGGTCATATCCATTTTGACTAGATACCTTAAAAAGCTGATACGTAAAATGACAAGGTGTCACGTATTATTTTTCACAAAATCTTAGTAGTTCATCGATTTTATATTAGATGGCATGATTTCAAACATTAATATCTTCGATTGTAAATAATAATCATAAACTATATTAAAACCCAAATATATACATTACATTGATACTAAATACAAGTATAAGTAACTCATATTAACAGTGTTGAAGTCAAAACGTGTAAACTAATAAAAAAGTAACGTACCCGCCAAGGCCCATGGAGATGGCGCCGGCAGCGACTTCAGCGATGCCGGCAGTGAGGACAATAGAGGAGGAAGCATTAGCCCCGGACAAGCCGGCGGCGAGGGCGAAAGGGACAGTAAGGCCATCGGACACACCAATGATAATGTCACGCACAACTTCTCCAGCGGTGAAATGCTTCTCTTTGTGTTGGTCTAAGAGTGCCGTTTTTTGGGATACTGAGGTTGCTGTAAAAGCCATTTCGATTTCTCTCTTTTTTTGAGAGAGAAGTGACTGAGTGAAATGAATAATTATACGGAGTAAAATGTGAATTTTTTGAGGGGTTTTATAAAGGGAGGAAAAGGAAAAGGCAGAAGATCTGATGAAAAAAATTATTTAACGAAAAAAGGAAAGTGGAGCCTGGTGTATTGGCTGAAGTTGGTAAGTCAGTCACTCGAGATTTTATTTGTTTGGTTTTGCATAATTGTTAGAGAATCTTTGATATTCTAAGGTGTGTTCACAATTGATAAATCTCATAAACTCTAATAGAGTTTATTGCCTAAATTTTAATTAGAGTATATAGACGGATGTCGGATAACCATTAAAATGAATAAAAAATACTCTTTGATGCACCATACATAATAGTCTCTCTAACTAGATGATATCGAGTTTTTTGTTTATAAGGTTTTGAAAAAAAGAAAAAAAATTGATAAATGAGTTTGTGTTCACATTGGAGCTCGGTTTAGATTGGGCCAAGTTGGTACGAGATTGGCTTGATTCGGTATAAGCCCAATGTAGAACTTAAGAAAAATAAGTGGATAGTTAGTGCATGAATATTGTGCGCTTTTCTACCAATTGATAGAAAATTGTAAAATTCTTAAGAGAAATTGTTGACACGACACAACCCAACACAATTTGCCTCATGAGTCAGACCGCATCGTTTATGTATATGAAAGTTAGACATTTGCTCATTGCTCAACACAATTTTTTCCTGGCTCATTAAAGCACAAGGTCCACTTGTTTAATATATGGGCTTACATAGCTCAATGTGAACTAGAGTTTGGAAGAATTTAAATAATGGGTGATTCACCAAAAAAAATTATTTAAAAAAAAAAAGCTCCAAATAATTACTTTTACCTTCATAAGTTGCATAATAAGATTCCCCATAATCCCAAGCGACTGTAGAGCACATCTAAATGTTATACGAGTATAACATTTCAAGAAAAATAAGATTAAAAATCTACTTAAAAATAAAATTAAATTAAAACACTTATATTTTATTCTTTATCATTAGCATAATGTATTGGCTAACTATATCTGGGCTTCATTCTTTTTGGACCCAAACCTCAATATGTGGGCTCGAATGTTTCAAAAGCATATTGAAGTTAAACAAATGGGTATATAACATCTAAAAGAAGATACATTGTAGTATTGTACAGTATTTAGATATCTAAGTCCTAAGAGGCTGGCTTAAAGTACTGGACCTGCTATTGCTTTGCTTTAAAGCAAAACCATGAATCAATTCGGGAAGACTGAATACGAGGAAGTAGTAAGCTTTCGATTCACCCTCCTTGGATTGATATAGTGGAGGAAGTAATCGATATAATTCGACATATTTTAACTTAAGTAAAATTATCTTTATTTATTATTTCTAAATCGTGGAAATAAGGCGATCATAATAAGGCCTTAGAACAATTGATGCATAATGATGAAAACTTGGCTATAAAGTTATATTATGTAAACAAACATGTAAATAGTATGCCAATATGCAATTCGATTTGCTTCACGATAAGGAAGGAACACACAACTTTTGGGCATATCGAACTCCATAGCAAGGGACGACTATGATTGATAAAAGAGGTGAACACAGTGGAGCCAATGTATAAACATAAGGCGTGCTAGTATCTGTAGTAATCAATATCATTGTTCAATTTAGACTTCGGTGGAATATAAAATCCATCCAAAGCTTTAAACATAAACTTAGACTTTTGATTCAATTAGTCATTTGACATGCTGCTATTGGAACTATTATTGTGACAAGAATATTACGAGTTTAAATCCCATCAACTTTCCTTTACAAAGTGTTACATTTGTTTCTTTGATAGACTTATCACGATGCATATATTTAAAAGCCTAGATTTTATTACTCATTTATTGGAAACTGATTTAGACACACTAAAAATTAATTTTGACATATCTTTGTGAGAATAGTGTTTATTATATGCTTGTATGTGATATTAGGTGAATGAGAAATATTTGAGAACAATTGTATAATAATGTAGGTTTGCAGCGTCGAACATCTCCAAATAAGATGATTCTAGTAGCATTGACTAAGTCTCGACATTGCACATTTCACAAAAAAATTAATCAACGTCAAATCAAAGCAATTTGTCTAAGTTAGTGCATGGCCACTAATAATTGCATCAACGCATAACACATGTACTCGTATCACCACCAAATGTTATTGACATTTACATTTACTACGTATTTGTTTGCCACCATTTTTCTTGCACTGCATAACTAATTTCTACTGTGTTGTTTACTGCCTTTTTCATTTTTTATACTGCAAGTATGAAGACTTTCTAGCTAATTATTGTACTTGAGGTACAATTCGTACATATTTGACCTACTTTAATCACTTTTAATACTTGTATTTAAATCTCAAGAGTACTCTCATATCGTTTGTTGAAAAATAATTTCATATTGGACGCTAATACGTACGTTATGTTATGAGTGATAATTAAAGTCAAGATTATCCATATTCAAATCATATAATTTCAAGTTGAGTTTGAGTTGCTCTTCAACTTGACTTGTTATACTAATTAAAATTACTTGGGATATCAAGATATATATTATATATCTTTGTATTGTATTTTGATTATAATCATATCAAATATTATATTTTGTATTCACTTATACTTGTATATTATTTGATTCTTGTGTATGATCTTCTAGTTAATCAAATATATAGTATCACTATAATACTGTTGTATCCTTTTATAAATATACGTTAAGATTTCCAACATTGTCTTTCTCAAGACAACCCGATTCTTCGCATATTTTACAAAGGCTAGATAAATCTCTACAATCCTTGTTATGTACTCCCTCCGTTCCACAATGATATTTTTATTTGGAATCTTTTTATGAGACAAATTTGATCACAATAGGAATATTATTGTGAAACGAAGGGAGTTTTAGATACATATACGAATAGCTAGTCAAACTTGTTAATATTGTTACTAAAATCCCGATTTAAATCTTAGAATCTTACGATTTTACGATTTATGTATGTAATACGATTCAATTTACGATTCAACCTGATTCTACATATTTCTCTTAACTAGCGAAAACCTTACAAGTTTAAAACATGCCTACAACATTATTTATAAGTATATATCGTCAATTATTGGTTGCTTAGTGGGTAACAACTATTTACTATTAATAATTAGGCTTCAAACTTATAGTTTAAATATTTTCAATTAAATTTGGATATGACGTCTTAATTATGCATGTTCGTAGAATCTCGATTCGATTTTGCGATTCGATTCTGAGAGGTCCTTCCAATTCAAAGTAGACTCCCGATTTTAATAACCTTGTTGTTAATCAATATTATACTCCTTCCGTCCCATAATACTTAACACAGTTTCTTTTTTTGTCTGTCCTACAATATTTGACACATTACTAAATATGGAATGAAAACACTAATAAAAAAAATATTTTTTCATATTTTCTCTCTCCTCACCTATCTTCTCCCACCCTACTTGTTTTTTTGCAATATAAAAATATAAAAGAGAATCTTTTATACAATAAATAAATGTTTTAATTGGACCCACTAATTTTTTTAAAATACGTGTCCACCTTAACGTCCCAGGTATTATGGGCCGGAGGGAGTAATTGCAAAACGAGGTTGAAATGGATTGGGATATTTGTAAAGGTATGTGTGTTCCTAAAATTTATGGCACTACTACTGAAAATAACGGAAGAAGAAGAGATGGCCCACCACACTAGTAGTTACTCGTACATGTCAAAAATAGAGTGGGCCAAAATAAAACTAAAATAATCTAACACCAACGGACACGTAGTAAACACACTTCTCACGCGCCACCTTTGTCTTTTTTGATCATCTCAATCTCATCTCATATGATTGCGCCAGACTTTGATGTATCATGTGTGCTACCGTTGGAAATTGCCGACAATATTAACTGTTAGTTTTTTATTATTTTTTGAATTGCTATTACTTTACTTTAAACACCACCGTATAGATCTATCAACTTCAACTAACTTGGTACTCTGTATTTTAAAACCATGTAATGTAATCTTATTAATTTAGCTTTGCTGTTAGCTTTTTGGAGTGAGCTTTTTCATTAATTAACTTGTACCAAGTATAACTCACTTTTTTGACAAAAAAAGGTCATTCATTATCATTTTATGTAGCTTGACGTTGATTATGTAGCTCAACAACTCAACTAGTTCTATTTTAGACATTTCTACCAACGATTTAGTTTTTGGTATGATATATGGTGGTAAATAGCTTGATTAACAGTATTTTTCTTTCACTTTATTTATACCAGGCCAATTTCAAAAATGTAGTCCATATGTTTATATAAAGTACAAAAAGGAGAACTATACTTTTTTGAGTATGGATTGGGAAATTTCTGTTTAGTATGTCTCTCTAGCTTGATTGAAACTTGCATAGTTAGTATGTCAGTTATCTTTGAGGTTTGACTAGGAAAACTCGATTTGATGGCAAAGCCATCTGATAAAGAAGAATAATTAAAGTATAATTCAAGAGTGTTTGTAAAGAGCAAATGTTATTTATCTTTAATTTAGGATTTGATGTGGGGGAGCTCGAGGAATGTGCCACCTATGGGGTGACCCTCGATGCTTGTCAAGTGGATAAGGGGGGATTTCCACTTGTATAGGATTATGCACGAGTTGGTAACTTGCATACTGGTAATGATGGAATTGGTATGTTATATATATGATCACTATCGTGGTTTAAGCGTTTTGATTATCGTGGGGGTATGACATCTCGTACAATAATCAAGTTCAGTTTATAACTAAAATAATATGCTCAAAAGTTTTAAAATATATTCAGGTTGATTTAGATAAAGTTTAAACTAGTATATAGATTTAAGAGTTGGTAAGAACAAACACACAAGATATATGGTCAACATTCGTTCATCATGTTTTTAATTGTGTAACTAGTATTTAGGCTCGGGCGATGACCCGAATTACTGTATTATTTGTATGATAAAAATCTTTAATCTTATAAGAACCATATAGTATAGTGCCATGTGGCGCCTAAACTTGTTTAGGAACACCTTTTAATATATAGTATAGGTTTGTAGTGGTGATCAACTATGATCCGGCCCGATCCGGCCCTATAAATGCGCGGGTTTGGTCAAAGCCTAAATACACAAATTTTTTTAGTTAAAAGTCCGAACCCAGTTCAAAAAAAGCCCATCAAGCCCACTTAGATCCAAAAAGCCTGCCACTTTTGGACGAATTTGGGCATGAGTTATGATGTTAAGACCCGACCCGGCCCGGATTTTTAATCACCTCTAGTAATTTGTGTAGCTCGAGCCAATGATAGCTAGTGTAATGTTCAAAAGAATCAAAATTGATTCGACTTTTGTTAAGAAAAAAAAAAAATCTATATAACATAGTAATGAAATTAAATTGTACCTCCTCATATTAACTAATTGCTCAAATATAATTTCTTTATTGGGGTTTATAATACATATCTTTATTAATTAATATTGTCTTTAATTACGCACAACTAATGTATTACGGTAGTAAAAATGACACAAATAAATATATATTTACCTTTTGAGATAATTATATATACAAAATGTCCACATGATAATGCACTTGTACATGGTATTACAATGAAGAAAAAGATATATTCATCCATACAATTCATAATAGCTGTCCACATGATAATGCACTTGTGCATGGTATTACAATGAAGAAAAAGATATATTCATCCATACAATGCATAATAATTCCCTACGTTCCCAAACTAAATTCAGTTTATGAAGTATACAATGCCCAAACTTAACATCTACGGACATTAGGGTTTTTCATTCACTCGATCAATCCCCACATGTATGAAGCACTCTAAAAAAATTAAACTTAAAAGAAAACAATGTACATTTAATAAAAAAAATAACTTATAATAATAGAGCTTACTTCCCAGTTTCAGTTATAATCATCACTTGTCCTTGTGACTTTTTTTTAAAAAAAAAAAGAAAAAAAAAACCCAAAAAATTTCATATACCCCATGTGATAACCGAAGATAATTTTCCATCAAAAATTTCCATATATCCCCTTTTGATACCTTGACAATTTAAGACACACACTTGGAGAATTTACCTTGGGGGTTACTAAATCACGTCCAGTATTTACCGGATAACGCACGTATTTTAAAATAAATATACTAATATACCCCTCTCTTAAATAACCCATCAAAACATTCTTTTTTTTAACTTTTAGCTTTCTCTCTCTTCACCCTTTTCACCTACTTTTCTCTTTCACCCAAATTCAACCCCCAAAATCATCCACCACCATCGGTTACCTTCCTTTCCGGCTCCTATCTTACCGGATATCCCCGTTGATCAGCCCCTTATTGCTACATCTGCTGTTGTTTTGGATCAAATTAGGGGTTTTCCGCGTGGTACGTCATGCGGTAGAGACGGCTTGCGTGCTCAGCACCTTCTGGATTGCTTGAGTGGTGCTGCGGTTGCTATTTCAGATGAGTTGGTGGGCTCTATTACACAGGTGGTTAATCTCTTTCTCGCAGGAAATTGTCCTGCTGAGTTGGGGGAGTATATTGCTAGTGCTCCTCTCACGCCACTTGTTAAGCCTGGTGGTGGTATTCGTCCTATTGCTGTGGGTACTGTTTGGCGGCGTCTGGTTTCAAAGGTTGGGGCTGCTTTAGTTGGTCCGCGTATGGGGAACTATTTAGGAGGTCTTCAGTTTGGTGTTGGGGTGCCGGCGGGTGGCGAGGCTATTCTTCATGCTGTTAATCGTTTGGTTGAGGCTCGAGGTGGTGATGTTGGCCTCTCTATGTTGCTGGTGGATTTCCGGAATGCCTTTAATTTGGTTGATCGTACGGCTTTACTGCGTGAGGTTCGTCTCCGTTGTCCAGCTCTTTCGCGTTGGGTTGAATTCTGTTACTCTACTCCAGCCAGGCTCTATTATGGGGAGCATACCTTAAGGTCATGTCAGGGTGTGCAGCAGGGTGATCCACTTGGCCCTTTGCTTTTTGCTTTGGTGCTCCATCCGTTGGTTTGTCAAATTAGGGATTCTTTTGACTTATGTTTGCAGGCTTGGTATTTGGATGATGGCACTATTATTGGTGACACCTTGGTGGTAGGGAAGGTTATGGAGTTGATTTTGGTGGAGGGACCTCGTCTTGGTCTCCATGTTAACGTTGAGAAAACGGAAGTTTTCTGGCCCACGGAGGACCCTCATAGCCGTCTGGCCGGTGTCTTTCCTCCAGATATTGCTCGTCTTGCTCATGGTGTTAAGTTGCTTGGGGGTCATGTCAGTGCGGATGCCTCTTTCTGTGGTGAGCTTGTTTCGCAGAGGGTGTCGAAGACCATTGTGCTCATGGATGTTGTTGCTAAGCTTGAGGATCCCCAATGTGAGTTATTACTTCTTCGTGCGTGTACTGGAGTTTCAAAACTCTACTTTTCTATGCGCACTTGTCCTCCTCGTCTTTTTGAAGCGGCCCAGATTTCTTTTGATGTGGCCCTTCGAGGTTCTGTGGAGCGCATTGTAACTGCTTCGGGGCCAGGTTTTGGTGATTGGCAATGGCGCCTTGCCACCTTACCTTTTTCTTATGGAGGACTGGGTGTCTATTCAGCGGGTGATGTTCGACACTATGCTTTCCTTGCGTCGCGTTTGCAGTCTTCTGGTCTACAGGCTTCGCTTCTTCGCAATTCTGGTATTGTTGGTCTAGGTCCGGCCTTCGACGACGCTCTTAGTCTTTTTAATAGGACTGTGGAGACTGACCTTTTGCGTTACCCTGGTGAGATCGCTGCCCCCAAACTCATGAAGAAATTGGCAGATATATATTTCACAAAGGTCACTGCATCTGCAGAATCCACTTTCTCCTTGTCTCCGCGTCAGGTTGCCTTATGGAAGTCCCAGCAGGGGGATTACTCTTCTTCCTGGTTGCGAGCGGTCCCGATATCAGGTCTGGGTCAGACTATGAATGGTAAGACTTACCGTTGTGTTCTTTGCTACCGGTTGGGTGTTCCCTTGTTCTCCGTACCGGCACCTTGTTCTGCTTGCTCAAGAGTTTTTGATGGGGATATTTATGGGGATCATGCAGTGTCTTGTGCTGGGATGGTGGGTATTAAACATCGGCATAACGTTGTTCGTGATACCCTTGTTGATATTTGTTTCCGCTCTGGGATTTCTGCAAGGAAGGAGGTCAACGTTGGGTTAACTGGAGGGAACGACGGGGCTCTTCGGCCAGCAGATGTGTTGCTTAACTCCTGGGATAGAGGCCTAGATGTATGTGTTGACTTGACGGGGTCTTCTCCATTGACTCAATCTGGGTTGTCTGACTTCGTTCCTGGTCGTGTTATGTCGGCTGCGGCTCAGCGGAAGCGAGACAAGTATGGGGCGCGTTGCAGGGCTATTGGCTATGGTTTTCTTCCTTTCTCCTTTTCTTCATTGGGGGAATTAGAGAAGGATGTCGTTGCGTTGCTGAAGCGGGTTCAGACGTTCGCTAGGACTCAGGATATTGGAGCTCGTGCGGCTGCTCACATCTTTAACAGGATTGGGTTCGCTATAGCTAGAGGGGTGGGGGCCCAGATTGTATCTCGGCTCCCCACTAATTTCTTGTAAATCTTTTGACTTTGTAGGTTTTTGTTATTTAATAATAATAATAATAATAATAATAATAATAATAACAATAATTAAATACTTATAATAATTAAATAATATAATAATAATAAACGACATAAATACGATAATAATAATAATAATAATAATAATAATAATAAGTAGAAACGCTTGAAATGTTTGAATGTACCATGGACGAAACATTTAGAATCTACCATGGAACATTCTAAAATTTCAGGCGTTCCTACCATGGTTCGCCTGAAATTTTAGAATGTCCCATGGTAGATTCTAAATTTCCAGGCGTTCCCATGAACATTTGAAAATACAATGTGAGGAACGCCTGCTATTTTTGAATCTACCATGGGACATTCTAAAATTTCAGGCGTTCCTACCATGGTAGATTCTAAATTGTCAGGCGTTCTTACCATGGTAGATTCTAAATTTTCAGGCGTTTTTCCGGCAATTACGAAATAAAAAAAAAACGACAAAGATTCATCCGTACTCACAGGCGACCTCTCTGGTGGCGTCGTCAATTCCGCAAACTCGTCCACTCACCGCTTGTGTAAATCATTTTTGAATAAAGCTTTTTTTTTTTATGAATAATGGTGGCTGGTGGTTGTCTGGTGGCGGTGGCTAGTAGGGTAAAAATAAAATACGATAAATTTATAAGGGATAAGAGTAAATTAGGGTAAAATTAAAAGGGGGCATGCTTGTAATGTCATGTTAAAATACGGGCGTTACCCGGTAAATACCGGACGCGATTTAGCAATTCACTTTACCTTTTGTTATTACCATCATGTACTAATTCACTAATAAGCTCAATTAGGACAGGTGGACAGCTAATATCAAATGGAGGGCTTATTATATTTTGTCACCTTCTACATTAGTTGTAAAAAGGAAATAAGTAATTAATCACCTATTAATTAAGTAATAAATACTTGATTAATTGACAAAATTTATACAGTTACTATACGATACAATTTCCCCATAAAAACCAGGAGTTACAATTTTTTTTTTTCATTGTTCTGCAAATTCCGTTTCATCTCCCATCATCAATTTTCTCTCTCCTCCCTCAAATCTGTAACACTCTTCTTGTGTGAAAGAGGGAGGAGTTTTATTTAATAAAATCTAAACTCTATTAATTTTAATTAATTAACTCAAAATCTTATACTCCGTAATTATAAAAAGTGAGAGTTTTGCTTTTAGAAGAGGGGGAATAATTTTCTTTTCTTTGATTGAGCATTTAAAGCAATCAAAACATACCCTTCTCAACAAAGCTTCTATCTTTGTCTTCCTTACTCTTTAATAAATCGTTCATTTTCTAGGAATTTCTTTTTTTTTTTTTTTGAAGATTTTGAGGTTAATTTTACAGGGGAAATTCATCCACAAGTAAGTTCATTTTATTTAATATCAATTTTGTATTTTTTGTTTAAATATTGTTATGAATATGCTGTTTTTTTTTACCTGAATTTGGAATTATTGTGTGAGAAAAATGGGAGTTTGAAATAAAGTTCTAATTTTATGTTTTTCTGCTGAAAATTGGAATTTTTCCGTCGAAATATGAATGATTCTTTCATGTGATAGCAGCAATTTTGGGTTTTAAATTTTAACTTTTTTACTTGAAATGTGCAGAAATTGTGTAGATATGGTAGTTCTTAATGTTGACCAGTTATTCAGTTAATACTTTGAATTATGGTTTTGGTATAAGAATTGGAATTTATTCTGGAAATTTATTGTTGAAACTTGAAAGGTTTGGTTTAGATTTATGAATCAATACATATTTTGTTTCTAATTAAAATCAATGTCTTTGGTTTTTAGTTGTTCAAGCTGCAATTTTTAGGATATAATTCACTTTCATGTGAAATAATGAATATTGAATCAATTCATAAACCTGTTTTTGTTGATATATGGAAAATCATAGGTAATGCAAATTGGCCTATATTCAGAAGATGCATTATATGTTATAGACCCTTCTTTTAATCGTATAGATCATTGGTGATTGCAAACTAGGTAGATTTACTCGATTATGCTTTGAAATTCCAATTTGTCCGAACGGGGTTTGGTTTGAGGCAATGTTGCATAGCTTATGCGGTGTTCTGATATAATAATCATTGTGATTCTTGCTTGAATCCACTGTTGCATATCTTTATTGTAATTGTGTTCAAGTATTAACACGATTCAGTGAAATTTTGTTGATGTAGACACAGTTATTGTGGGTGACATTTCCTGATCACATACATAGAGGAAGTTTATTAGGAGGCGCCGAACTTCTGAAGAAATAGGATGGCTTCCGTCACTGATATAGCAGTTTCTGCTGGCTTTAATCTTCTAAGTGCATTCATCTTCTTGTTGGCATTTGCACTTCTAAGGATTCAACCTTTCAACGATAGAGTTTACTTTCCAAAATGGTATCTCAGGGGGTTAAGAAACAGCCCGCTTCACACAGGAGCTTTTGTGAGCAAATTTGTCAATGTGGACTTCAAGTCCTACTTGAAATTCTTAAATTGGATGCCAGATGCTATCAAAATGCCTGAATCAGAGCTCATTGAGCATGCTGGATTGGATTCAGTGGTTTACTTGCGGATATATTTGATAGGGTATGCGGCCACTTGTAGATTAGTGCTTCCTTGGTGCACCATCTTTGCATTCTGTTGTTTGTTGTAGCAATGTACTCAAAAGTCTTGGTTTGTCTTAGATGCATGAGATCACTCAGATTTATTTATTAGCTATTGAAGTTTAACATAAGGTTTGATTTACTTTCTTAACAAGAGTTTTTAATAACTTAGATAGGAGGTTGTATAAGATGGCATTGACATGGCTGCTCTTAAGATAACCATAATGTTTTTTTTCTGTTTTGCATTTTAGTTAAATAAGAATGTTTAGATGGGGTTGAACTTTGAAGTTTCCTTAGGTGATGTAAATTCTTTGAAGTCAAAATAATTTAAAGTGACCGATAAAAACCAATGTCTGAGAGGCACATATCCTAAGAATGATGGTTTTATTCATATGTTTGAGATGATAGTAGGGAAAGCAGTGGGTGAAGTTATCTAGGATATTGCATGTCAAGGTTTGAGTCAGGAAATTTAATTCAGTCTGTCGGCACTTAGCACTGTTGGTTTCTGAGCTTCCAGCCATGTAAGGATGTAACTGTGGATGTTCAGCATCTTCTGTTCATTTATCTGAGAAAGCAGTACTGGAGAAAATTTTATTCAAATGCTGAGAACAACATATTACAGAGTAGAAGAATTAATCATGCTGCTTTTGTCTGTAGACATGCATCTGTTTTAATTACTATTATAGTATTATTAGTTTTGATGCCTTTCGTTTTTTTGCAGACTTAAGATTTTTGTCCCTGTTACGGTGTTTTCAATGTTGGTTTTATTTCCAGTCAATTTTACAAATGATACATTACAAGTATCCAAAGCAGTCTTCAACGACATTGATAAGCTGTCAATTTCGAATATACCGCTTGAATCTCCAAGGTTTGGACCTCTTTTAAGTCTGGGTTTTATCTCCTTGAGATTATCTTAACTTCATATTACTTTGGTTATGCTGTCCGACCTGTAATTTTATTCTTTTGCTCCCAAATAAACTTCCTCTTTGACTATTATGGTTTATAATAATGACATGCTACCTCCTTCTATTTGGGTTCTACTAAGAGCTGAGGTATTTATATTAAGAAATATTGAAAGGGGTTGTAGCTGGAAAAAGATGGTTGATAAACTGATAAAGTATGAGCGATGGAGTAATAAGGTGTGCAAGTGTAAGAAAAGGTAGATAAAGTAAGAGAGAGTGAGTGGAAAGGTGTAAATACTTTGGGGTATGAGGGGTAAGGGAAAAAAAAAGACTTAAATGGAATGCAAGTTAAATAAAAAAGGGGTAAGATAGTGGGTGCTGAACTGCTAATGTGCTATATTCAAATAAGCCACCGACCGCTGGTGTTAGGGGGTTGGATGTCTATCATCTGCTAAATCAAGACCATAACAACACACATTATCGGGTTCATTGCTGGCAGATTTGTTGAGGTTGAGATGTATGCAGAATTATTTTGGATAGAATACAATGCTTGATCAAAGTAGTGGCGTATCATAAATAAAACCTTAGATAGGCAATACAAGGGCTTTTGAAGTGCTAGTTGTGCATTGGAGCTTTAATTTAATTTTTTTATTATTTTTTAATCATGGCTTATATTCATGGACTGTCTTTGCTCACCTGTTAGTTGTTTCTAAATTGCAGGTTTTGGGCTCATTTAGTGGTGGAATATGCCATTACATTTTGGTCATGCTATGTTTTGTATAAGGAGTATGCAAAGGTTACAGCTATGCGACTGCAGTTTATGGCAGCAGAAAGACGTCGTCCTGATCAGTTTACGGTAAGATCATCTTTTGTCTCTTGCGATTCGATTTTAGCTCATAACTTATGTTAGTCACACCTCCTTATGTTCAGATCCCTACAGTTGCAGCGAGACTTCTCTTGCTATAAAATTTTGACTGACAAATAGTCATTGACTACTGGTCTTCCTCCCTAATAAACAAGAACTATAAGACATTCTTTAGGAACGTTTGAATATTTGATAGTCACTGTAGTTGTAAACTGAATATTTGTGTAATGGTGATTCATTGAACTTTGAATAGGATGGAATTATGTTCCCATGTTTTATGGATAACTAATTTACAGTTTTGAAAATTTTATCAATTGTAGAATGTAATATTAATAGGTTTTTGCTTGCATTATGGAAAGAAACGAAAGTGAGCGAAGGTAGAATTCTTAGAAGTGAAAGAAATGATTACAATTAGTGCTGTGCTGATTCGTGTTTATTCAGGAATAATACATGCATCTGATTTTGTAACTTGAACCATTTATCACCATTGATCTTCATCAACCTTCCTTTTCTGTGATGACATCTTGATTGATTTATTTCCAGGTCCTTGTACGAAATATTCCCCCAGATGCTGATGAATCAATTAGTGAGCTTGTGGAGCACTTTTTTCTGGTCAATCACCCTGATCATTATCTCACGCATCAGGTCAGGCCTCTTCAGTTTCTTGCTCCCTTTCATTTATTGAATCTATGAACGTTAAGTGCGAATGCTCATGAGGGGTCGATTTTGCAATTCAGGTGGTTCATAATGCAAATAAGCTGTCAGATTTAGTTGAACAGAGGAAAAAGAAGCAAAATTGGCTGGATTACTACGAACTAAAGTTTTCTAGAAAGCCGGATCAACGGCCCATGACGAAGGTATTATTACTGCAATATGCAGCCATGCAATGGTTCGTTTAACACACATTAGCATCTAATGCAAATTCTTTTCTTGATATTGCAGACTGGATTTCTTGGCCTATTTGGACAAAAAGTTGATGCCATAGATTATAATGCTGCTGAAATTGAGAGACTAAATAAAGAAGTGAGTTCCTTTTTTTTTTTAGCTTTTCTGGTTCTTTTGTTTGTCTAATATGTACATTTGAATAAAACTATTCAAGATATGAAGCAAATATGATTTTTACTTTCAAGCTCTTCATTTTTTACAATAAGAAATTATCTTAATTAAGGATAGTAATTTTTGCAATCACACAAACGAGGCACATGAGCTGGAACATTGTCATTAGTTGTACCATGCTATTCTATCCACACTGCTTTTGACGAATATTATATGTGAGAAGAAAATTGTGTACCAAACAAAGAAATTTTGTGCTGAAATATGCTTTTGGAATCCAATGAAGTCAATAAGTGCTTCCTGTCTGTACCTGATATGTTTCCAATGGGTGGGAGGGTCATTAATGGCTTGGGAACATCTCAGTAAGTCAGGGGACGTAAGTATTGGAAGGTCTCCCTCTCCTTTATATCTCCTTTGTTTTTCTCTCTTCCAAACTCTCTCTTTCTCCTCCTTTGCTTAATTGCCTTCGCCATTTTATATCTGGCAGTTTTAATTGATAGATTTATCGCTGGTGCTTGTCCATGTTTTCTTGCAGAATTAGTTAATATAAGTTTGTTTAAAATGATTAATGGGCCCTATTTTTCGAGTATTTTCATGGAGTTCACTTGTTTTGATTGAATCTCTTCATGCCAGATTGCTGAAGAAAGAGAGAGAGTTGAACACGATTCAAAGTCTATCATGCCTGCTGCTTTTGTTTCCTTTAAGACTCGATGGGGTGCGGCTGTATGTGCACAGACTCATCAAACCAGAAATCCAACGATTTGGTTGACTGGATGGGCCCCAGAGCCACGTGATGTCTATTGGCCCAACTTAGCTATTCCATATGTTCATCTCAGCATCCGAAGGCTGATAATGTCTGTTGCATTTTTCTTTCTGACATTTTTCTTCATGATCCCGATTGCCTTAGTACAATCACTGGCAAGCATTGAGGGAATTCAGAAATATGCTCCATTTCTAAATTTTATTGTAAAGCGGTAAGTCTGCTTAGCCTGTAAATTAATTACGTTCTGTGAATATGTTAAATTGATTTAAACCATATTGATAGAAAGAGATGATCTCTTTTTCAAAAGATAACAATTTTTTAATTTAACCCAGTTCGACATTGATGCAATCATGCAGTCACTAATGAAGATAGCTTAGGAAAAAAAAGGAACTTTCCCTGATAACATTGGTCTGATGCTAATTGCTGTAGTTACCCTCTCGCTCATTGTACGTGTGTTATCTTATTATTACCTTATGCTTCTCTTGCTGCCTCTTAAAATTTTTTCCTGGTAGGCAAAACTGTTTCTTTGATAGACTGAATAGCTTCTTGTTTTGTTTGAATTCTGCATCAACAAACATCTTTCTCCTTCCCATAGTAGTTCTCTCTTGAACTCTTAATAATATTAATAGTTGTGACATCTCACATCTTATTATACAATTATGAAGTAGCAAATTTAGTTTAATAGAAATAGGCACAAACATAGTTAAGGTACCACCGTACCATGTATGAATCGTTTAACATCTTTGATTTTTATGAATTTTTACGATATGATTGATTTCATCTCTGATTAAGAAATAATGTTGATTGCATTTTGTTGTTGTCTAAAACCATTATTCCTTCCTCACTGATTAGGGAATTATTCACCATGCAGGCGGTTTATCAAGTCATTCCTTCAGGGCTTCCTACCTGGACTTGTTTTAAAGCTTTTCCTCATCTTCCTGCCGGCAATATTGATGATGATGTCTAAATTTGAAGGCTATGAAGCATTATCAATTCTAGAAAGAAGATCAGCTTCGAGATATTATATGTTCAACTTTGTCAATGTATTCCTTGTTAGTGTTGTAGCTGGTACCGCAATGCAACAACTGAAGACATTCCTTAAATCGCCACCAAATAAGTATGTGACTCTCAATCTATGTTTTATCCTATTTGTTCTTTTGTTCTCCTGTGGATGAATGCAGAATATTGTAACTAATTTATATTATATTTATACATAAATTACAAATATATTGCACATATATCGTCAAATATCATACATATGTATGTTGCATGTATACATTTATTGACCTATATAAATTTGTGTACCTTAAATTTATAGATCGAACTTGCATGTTGTCCTTGTGTTTGGTAATTTTATTGTTTTTTCAACTTTTAACTGATTGTAAACAAAGTTGTACAAGAATTAAATGGGGGTTAATTGACCCCATTACCTTGAACATGACAATTTCATTACTGAAACTTCCTATCAATAATATTACTGGTTGCTTATGTAGGTTCTTTTAAATCAGTTATGTAGTTTCATCTTATGTGAAATTCCATCTGATGCTCTGACTTAACAGGATCTTTGAGATCGTTGGTATAGGGATTCCAATGAAAGCAACTTTCTTCATAACTTACATAATGATTGATGGGTGGGCTGGTGTTGCTGGTGAGATACTGAGATTAAAACCTTTGATTATATACCACTTGAAGAATTGGTTCTTGGTGAAGACAGAGAAGGACAGGGAGGCAGCAATGGATGCAGGAAGCATCGGGTTCGACACTGGGGAGCCTCAGATACAATTGTATATATTGTTGGCTTTTGTTTATGCTGTGGTCTCTCCAATTATATTGCCGTTCATTTTGGTCTTCTTTGGCTTCTCTTACCTTGTGTACAGACATCAGGTTAGGGATTATTATTGTTTTTTAAAAATCCAGTTACATTAAGTGTGCACAAATTCATGTATTTTTTTCTACAAGGAACTTTTTCATGAAAGCTCTGTCAGATTCACTGTGTTTTAGGCTTCATTTTATTTTTAAAAATCTGAGGACTGCTTTTATGAGCTAATTAGCCCTTATCTTGTGTAATAGACTAACTTACTGCAATTATAATTTAAGACAATTTGCAAGAACCAAGGCTTAAACTTGAGTATTTGATTCACTGATGATTGAATTACAAGGGATAGGCATAACTTGAGGTTATGAATCTCATAGTAGCTTTAGGCCACAAGTCTCTCATGTGTTTTCACTAATTTCTGGATGGTCTCTACTGCCCCCTAACTACAATACATATACTCAAGACGTAACTAGAACATGTGACATTAATTAACTAAAATAGAAACCCACAAAGGTTATGATTAAAGGAGGCTGCCTTCTTTCCTCAACTTCCCCTTAATTGGCCTTGTCCTGTTGTTCATTGTTCCTTCTCACAATTGACCCTTGCTGCTGCCCCTGTTTTGCGCGCCTGGAGTACATCAAAAGTGGTGGTTGAATTGGTCCGATAGCTCTGTTGACCTTATTGACCCGTTCCATAACATCACTCCCCCCTTTGAGCTTCACCTTGTCCTCAAGGTGGAAGGAGGGAAATCGCTCATTGACTGCATCGAACTCTTCCCAAGTAGCATCATGCGCTGGTAAACCCTTCCAAGTGAGCAGCACTTCAAGCACGAAAACAGGACCTTTCTTAATGGTGCGCACCTCAAGCAATTCCTCTGGTTCCACCAACAATTCCAAGTCGGGGGAGAGTTGGGGTGGAATCGTGGGCTGGCAGGTCGAGTCCCCTAATGCTCGCTTGAGTTGTGAGATGTGAAACACGGGATGGATCTTGCAATGTGGTGGTAGTTGTAGTTTATAAGCTACTCTGCCAATGCGCTCCAAAATTTCAAAAGGCCCATAGAATCTGCCAGCCAACTTCTCAAATGGTCTCTTAGCAAGTGATTTCTGTCAATAAGGTTGCAATTTAAGGAACACTCTTTCCCCAATCGAAAATTCCTCATCTCTCCTCTGTTTGTCCGCGTAGCCCTTCATTACTTACTGTGCTCGGTTCAAATTCAATCGCAGCTCGTCCAATATCGCATCCCTCTCCATTAACATTTCTTCAAGACTGCTAACCATGGTTTGATCAGCCCCTAAACGCCACAACTTGGGTGGATCTCTCCCGTAAACCACTCGAAAAGGTGTCATCTTAGTAGAGGTGTGGGGTGAGGTGTTATAAGAATACTCCGCCCACGGGAGCCATCGAGCCCAACTCTTTGGTTTTTCCGCAATGAAACATCGCAAATACATCTCCAGGCTCTTGTTCACGATCTCCGTTTGACCATCGGTTTGAGGATGGTAGGACGTGCTTCTTCGGAGATGCGTTCCTTGCAATCGAAACAACTCCTTCCAGAATATACTCATGAAGACTCGATCTCGATCCGACACAATGGATGCCGGAAATCCATGAAGTCGGACAACTTCTTTGACAAAGAAATCTGCTACTTTGAGGGCGTTAAAGGGGTGTTTGAGACCAATGAAATAGGCGTACTTTGACAAGCGATCCACCACTACTAACACCGCGTCGCTTCCTCGGGATAAGGGAAGACCCTCCACGAAGTCCAATGAAATTTCCTCCCAAACGGCCTCGGGAATAGGGAGCGGTTGGAGCAATCCTAACGGGCTCTTAGTGATAGTCTTGTTTCGTTGACAAACATCGCATTCCCGAACAAATTTAGCCACATCTTTTCTCATCCCGGCCCAAAACCAATCGGCGGTGAGCCGGAGATAGGTCTTGAGCTCACCGTCATGGCCACCAATGGGGGTACTGTGATACTCCTGCAAAAGTAAAGCAATATATTTTGAATGGTTAGGCAATACAATACGATCTTTATAAAAGAGTCTATCCCCTTCAATGTGAAACCCTTTAGGCCCTTCTTTTCCTTGTTTCAAGCCCAACATAATCTGGCCCAATCCTTTATCATTCTCCAACTCCTTCTCAAGATCAGCCCACTCCACATAACAAGAGTGAACTAAAGACCCAAACTCAACCACTTCATCTTCTTTCTTCGTCCCCTTCACTGGTTTGATAACCAGAGCTTCATCCTTGCGTGACAACTGTTGGCGGTGCCCGGTTTATACTGAATGGTGAAATCGAACCCCACGAGTTTCCGAAGCCACCTCTGATATTCACTACTCACTTCTCGCTGCTCAATTAAGTACTTGAGGCTCTGCTGATCCGTGCGCACAACGAATGATCGACCCAATAGATAATGGCGCCACTTCGCCACCGCCAATGAGATAGCCATTAACTCCTTCTCATAAATCAATTTGGCCCGAGCTCGCACCCCCAGGAGTTTACTAAAGAAAGCAATTGGGCGATCTTGCTGCATCATTACTGCCCCCAATCCGTATCCGGAGGCGTCGGTTTCCACCACGAAACCTTCGCGAAAATCAGGAACAGCCAGGACCGGGGCTGTGTTCATGGCGGTCTTCAGGTTCTGGAACGCTGCCGTGGCTTCCCCCGTCCATCCGTAATTTTCTTTCTTCAATTGAGCCGTGAGGGGGCCGGCAATCTGAGCATAGTGTTTGACAAACTTGCGATAATAACCCGTTAATCCCAAAAATCCCCTAAGCTCACGGAGATTCCTCGGGGTTTTCCACTCTACAATGGATCGAATTTTATCTCCATCCATGGAAACTCCCTGCTTCGATATGACATGACCAAGATATGCGATTTCACCCTTCCCAAATTCGCATTTCTTATAATTTGCATACAATTGATTTTCTTCCAACTTTTGAAGGACCAACTGCAAATGATGGACGTGCTCTTCAACTGCCTTACTATATATTAAAATATCATCGAAAAAGACCAAAACGAACTTCCTTAATCATGGCCGAAAAACGTCGTTCATAAGTGATTGAAACGTCGCCGGCGCATTTGTGAGGCCGAAAGGCATCACGAGGAACTCATAATGCCCCTCGTGTGTCCGAAAAGCCGTCTTGTGAGTATCGCTCGGTCGAACCCGGATTTGATGATAACCGGATTTCAAATCGAGCTTGGAGAAAACTGTTGCTCCATGTAACTCGTCTAATAGCTCATCAATAACCGGGATTGGATATTTATCCGGAACGGTTTCCTTGTTGAGGGCCCGGTAATCTACACAGAACCTCCACGAGCCATCCTTTTTTTTCACGAGTAAAACCGGACTTGAGAAGGGGCTAGAAGACGGTTTGATAATCCCGGATTCGAGCATTTCCCGGATAAGCCTTTCAACTTCATCCTTTTGAATTTGTGGGTACCTATATGGCCTCACACTAATTGGGTCGGCCCCATCTTTAAGAACAATGGAATGCTCATGGCCCCTTTCTGGTGGCAGCCCATTAGGCATATTGAAGACCCCTTTAAATTGGCCTAAGACATTCATTAAGTAAGAAGGTGGGCTAACTTCAGTTGGGCCCATCTCTTGTGTTTCAGCTTGATTGAATTCGACCCAAAGGCCTAACTTCTCTTTTTTAAGCACCCTCACCATGGCCTTTAACGAAACTTGGGTCTTTTCGAGAGTAGGATCTCCGGTAAGGGTCACCGGCACACCTCCGATGTTGAACTTCATGATGTGAGTACGCCAATTAGTCACCACCGGACCTAACTTCTCGAGCCATTGAACTCCTAAAATTACCTCGGCACTCCCTAAAGTGAGAGGAAAAAAATCCTCAATAACGGTGATACCTCCCCTCAATTCCACCTTGACTCCCTTACACACTCCTCTACCACGAATTGTATCCCCGTTTCCTAAGGATACCGCAAATTCCCCACCTTGTGAGATGGGTATGGCCGCTTGCTCTACTACCGAAATAGCTAAAAAATTATGAGTAGCCCCGGGATCAATCATCACCACTACTTCTTGCCCTTTTACTACTCCCCTCAACTTCATCATTTTTGGGTTGTGTATCCCGATCACCGAGCACAACGACATGCCTCCAACCTCTTCCGACGGGGTGTCACTTCCCAACTCCGGCTCTTCGTCCTCCAACTCGACTTCACCCTCCGCGACTAACAACACACTAAGCTCCTTTATCTTACAACGATGCCCTACACCCCACCTTTCATCACACTTAAAGCACAACCCTTTTGCCCTCCTTTCCGCCAACTCACTCTCGGTCAACCTCCTCGTAACCCCGGAAACACTTTGACTTGGGCCCGACGTGGCCCGGCCCAAATTCACGGACCCTTGGGACTCAGGAGCCTTGGGCCAGGGTTTGGGCGGCCCACTGCTGCTGGCAGCCCGTAGGAAGCTATGAGGCCTCCTTTACTGAAGGTTGGGTTGCCTTGTATTAGGCTAGAGTTTGAAGGCCCAGCCGTTGACCCACCTCTCCAATTACTTAATGGCTTCTTTCCCTGTGAACCCGATTCTTCTCTTCTATTCTTCCTGCCATTTCCATGGCTCTTTCAAGGTTAGGCGGGTTGAGGAGTCTCAGCTCCGATTTCACTTCCTTGTTCAATCCGTGGATGAATTGCCCTAACATGATACTCTCCGGCACGTCCTCAAGCGGCGCCGCCATCTCAATGAATTTCCGACGATATTCTGCCACCGACCCCGACCCCTCTTGCGTCACCGCCAGCCACTGTTCGTGGAGCGTTCCCGAATGGGAAGGTCGGAATTCGCTCAAGGCCCTTTGCTTGAGGTCCGGCCACCCATAAAAAGGCCGCCGCTTTTGCTCCCACTGGAACCATTTCAGAGCGGCTCCATCCATCGCCACTACCGCCACCTCCATCTTTTCCTTCTCCGTCAATTTGTAAAAATCAAAGTACATTTCGGCCCTCGCCGTCCAATTATCGGGGTCTGATCCGTCGAAGAGTGGCATCTCCAACTTCCGGTGCTTCCAGTGACCGCCTCCGCCACCACCGCCGCCCTCTCCGGCTCCTCTCCAGCGCCAATCCCCTTGTTCAAAGTGCGGCCAGTCTTGCTCTTTGTACGGCTTCTCTTTACCTGGCGTGAGGTTATTCCCCCCACCCAATCGCGGGCTGTTCTCTTCCACCACCGGAATAGGTTGCTGAATTCCTTGTGCTTGAGGTTGCCTCGTTTTCTCCAGTTCCTCCTGGCGATCGATTGCGGCTTGTGTATCGACCGTGGATCGGAAGCGAATTAAACGCTCCTCCACCTTATCAACGGCGGCTGTTACTATTCCTCGGTTTTCTTCCTTTCCTCTGCGATTTTTTGTCTCTCCTCCTCCATGGCAGCCCTTACGGCTGCTGTTACTGCTCGCGACAGGTTGTCGTCCAGGGTTTGTAGTTTCTCCACGATGGTAGCCATCTGGGCTTTCAGGTCTGCCAGCGTTCCCTCCAGGGCGTCCACCCTTTCCATCTCTCTTTTTTTTTTTTTTTTTTTTTAAAAAAAAGGGGGGTGGTGGATTCCGGTGACCACGGCCGCAGGACCACCGCTCTGATACCAAGTTTGTAATAGACTAACTTACTGCAATTATAATTTAAGACAATTTGCAAGAACCAAGGCTTAAACTTGAGTATTTGATTCACTGATGATTGAATTACAAGGGATAGGCATAACTTGAGGTTATGAATCTCATAGTAGCTTTAGGCCACAAGTCTCTCATGTGTTTTCACTAATTTCTGGATGGTCTCTACTGCCCCCTAACTACAATACATATACTCAAGACGTAACTAGAACATGTGACATTAATTAACTAAAATAGAAACCCACAAAGGTTATGATTAAAGGAGGCTGCCTTCTTTCCTCAACTTCCCCTTAATTGGCCTTGTCCTGTTGTTCATTGTTCCTTCTCACAATTGACCCTTGCTGCTGCCCCTGTTTTGCGCGCCTGGAGTACACCAAAAGTGGTGGTTGAATTGGTCCGATAGCTCTGTTGACCTTATTGACCCGTTCCATAACATCTTGTTAACTCATGTCTCTACTTATTTTTGTGGTAAACTTGTCTCTCTTGAAGCTTACATTTTAGGTGAAAAGAACCAAAATCCTTAATGTGTGGTATGACGTGAGGTTATCCCTTTAGTCATGTATTTAATTGGGTGTGGTTCAGAGTTTCCTTTAGGTGAAAAAGGACAAAATCCTTAATGTGTCATTTTAAGTGCTTGGTTGCATGATTGCAGATCATAAACGTTTACAACCAGGAGTATGAAAGTGCTGGTGCTTTCTGGCCTGCTGTCCATGGACGAATTATTACTGCAATGGTTTTCTCTCAGTTGCTTCTGATGGGATTGTTGAGCACTAAGAAGGCTGCTTCATCAACACCATTTCTCATTGCACTTCCAATTCTTACCATATGGTTTCATAGGTACTGCAAGGGTCGATTTGAGCCAGCATTCAAGACTTATCCTCTACAGGTCAGTCAGAGAACAGTGATTATTGATTAATGATAATATAATAATCGATTGCGCCACTTTTGCTTAACATAGATGATTTAAGCCAATATATAATACACATCCTTCATGTAACATGTTTCAATTTTTTTACTGGCTTAAGAAACTCTGGATTACTTCAAATGTCTCGTCTCTTTAATAGTTTCTAGGTAGTTGTGTTTGATCTGGGTCTGCAGTATGGTACTGGTTAGGCGGGGATATTCAACAATTCCTCGTTTTCCTACTGAACACTTATTAGATTTTGGATAAGCTCATCAATTAGCATCGTCTGGCTGCATAGAAATCTACCTTTGCATAAGTGCAAGCTAGAACAATTAGAACAGGAAGGCACATGCGTAAATTACTAAGTTCTACTCCCTCTCTTTTAATAAAGTCTAGGTTTAAATGTTTAAAGAAGCTGTACTTTTATAACCCCTCTGCCAAACAATATATTTCATATAAACTGCATACAATTGAACTGGCTGTAAGTATTTAAGTTCCTTGGATGGACTAACTTTGAATGAAGAATGCTCTTGGACTTCGCTACTAATAGAATTGATAGAAAGGTTCTAAGTTCATCTAGTTTGCGGTTGGTTGTATATTTTGGTCTAAGTTAGGGGCTAGGGGCCTAGGGCATCCAAGTATCATTGCACATCCTACTGTCTAGGGTTGGTCATGGGTTTTTGGTGTGGAATGTGGATAGTAGACTTTGTATGACATGGTTAAATTGGGCACTTATTGGTTTATGGTCAGGGTCCTGGGCACAGTCGACCCTTAATTTCACCTAAGTGTTCGCGTCAGATTTTGACACTATGACATGGCACATGGGTATGGATATTTGAGACATAATTCTTCATTAAATACCAAGCCTTGAGAACTTTTTATAAAAGAGCTGTCTGATGCTTAGAGATGTATCTGTGTCCGACCAACAGCTCTCCCTCCCCGCCTTTTGGCCCTTCACCTTCATCTGTATACTTTTGCACTTACCTCTCACCCTCCCCCCTCCCCGCGGGAACCCTTGGTGAGGAAAAGAGTAATTCAAGTTACATATTTGTATTATTACTATGGCAATTTCATATGATATGTTTCAATCTTCAGTAGTCTTCACACTTTTCATTATTGTAGAATGACTAATACTGTGTTTCCTGGAATTTTCAGGAAGCAATGATGAAAGATACGCTAGAACGTGCAAGGGATCCCGGCTTCAACTTGAAAGCTTACCTTCAGAATGCCTATATCCATCCTGTGTTTAAAGATGAGGGTGACAAAGATGATGCAGTTCAGAACAAGTTGGAGATGGAAGCCGAGCTTGTTCCTACTAGACGCCAGTCAAGAAGAAACACTCCAGTGCCAAGCAAAATGAGCAAATCATCTTCAACTTCTCCAAGCAAACATGTCGATCTATGAAGTGTGTGAGAAAACTCATGGGTAATGAGCTTAGTTCATAGCAAAGAATTACAGCATTGTAGTCAGATTGTGCAGGCAAATGCATCAGTAGGTCTGTTTTTGTACTTTTTAGGGAGGGAATGTAGTATGGTAGATCTTATGGCTCTCTATCGTTGTCTCTCCCTTCTCGTTCACTCATGTTCATGTATAAAGCACCGACTGTCTCTTGCATGTAAATTATTTCAGCTGTTCTGATCTATAAATTTCAACCTGCTTCAAGCTGATAATTTTATGTGATCATGTACTCCTGGAATTGAATTTATGAAGCACTTTTGCTACATATTGAGCCTATTTTAGAGGTCTTAATTTCCTCCCAACCAAGTTGCTCCCTCAACCTATTAGTGCTACAATCTACAAATGTTCATATAAGATTATGATAGGGTTGTAACTCTGGTAATGATAAAACTTTAACTATCAAACACCCTACATATATTGTATTTGTGGACTTATAAAAGCAAATATAGTATTTCCTCTTTGTGAGACAAAATTGGTCAAAGTAAGAACTAAGAGTACTGTATGAAATGCAGGGAGTATGTTTTTTTTTTTTAACAAAGAACATTGATATTTTGAGTAAAAAGATTAGGCTTGCAACATGGCCTAGCACTCCTATTATTGTCTGTTTTCAATATTGTCATTTATTTACTTCAATTAGAATAAAGATTTGTCTTAATAAATGCATATAACCTTAATAAATGCATATAACAAAAATTATTGAGTAATACTTCGTAGTTTTTTTTTCCCCCTTCTACGTTGGTGCAATGAATTATAGTTTTGTGAAAAATGAGGAGATAGTCCCTCCATCTCCCCTCAAGTGGTTGGGGGTTCGATTCCTCACCCAGCCCCCCCCCCCCTCCAATTCCTTTGATAGGATGGGGCCCGCCCCATATCTTATCGTTTTTTAAAAAAAGAATCATAGTTTTGTGCATAGATCTTAATATCTATTTTGTGAATTAAGCACGTTTAGTCTAAAATTAAAGACTCCTAAAAACTTTAATGGGTAGATAAAAAACGTACATTTTTTTTTTTTACTAACATGACATGATCACCATAGAAAAATGATACATTTTTTTTTCTTTTCTTTTTGTGAAACTCTTCATGAATTACACTCTTTGAGAATATACAAGTACAAAGAACTCACTCTTTAGTAAAAAATAAGGCTGTAATGAGAGCGAGGGATAGCTTAAGTGGTTAAAGCTTTCCTCCTGGTTCTAGGTGATCCTGGGATCGATTCTTATCACCGTCCATTATGACTCTCTAAACGCCAAAAAAAATAATTTGGCTGTAATAATTTTTACATATTTATACTTTGTATTAAGGCATCGATCTCTTCGTATTTACTTGTTGATTACTCCGTAAAACATATACTTCCTATTTATATATTCTCCACTACTCTACTAGTATTTTTGTAAGCAATAATACAAAGTATATTTTCTTTTTTAGGAGTATTATTCCTTGGTATTTTTTTTAACGAAATTATTTTCAATTAAACCTTAAAAAATTGGCAACTCTAAAATTAATACGTACTCGTAGGATTTTTTTTTCTTTCTTCTTTTGACAATATGTACTCGTAGGAATCGTAGTAACTAAGAGCAACTCCAATGGCAAGCTAATAGCTTACTATTTAAATGGACCACACGTCCTTAATTTACGTTGATAAATTTCATTTTATTTATTCTAATTTGTTTTATTTTAGCAAGTTCTTTTCCCAAGCAAATTGGCCAAGCTAATTGCATATTCTAGCTCCAATGTTTAAGTAGCTAGGGATTATTTAATATTGCAAGCAACTCCCTAAGTACAACCATTAGAGTTGCTCTAATTAGCACATTTTAGCTTTCTCAAAAAAAAATAACATAAAAATAAAAATACAGTAGCACATTTTACTATTTTAGAGCATCGCAAAAGAGTAAATTACGAAGTAGAAAGAATGGATTTTCAAAGAGATAAAAAAAAAAAAAAAAAATGGACCAAAAAAGTCCGGCCCATTAAAACAAAACCCAAAGGCCAAAGTACAACAAAGAAAACCCTAACTCCTTCTTAAAACCCCCTTTTATTCCTCCTCCCTTCATTTTTAGGCCGAACCAAAACCCTAATTTACTCCTCTCACTCTCTCTCTGTTGCAGCAGCCATGGGTAAACTTTCTCTCTCCTCCATTTTCATCTCTTCAATCTTCTTGATTTTCTTGTTGATTCTGGAAATTTGATGAAATTGCAGGTGCATACAAGTATATGCAAGAGCTATGGAGGAAGAAACAATCCGATGTGATGAGGTTCACCCAAAGAGTTAGGTGTTGGGAGTATCGTCAGCTTCCTTCCATTGTTCGTGTTACTCACCCTACTCGCCCTGACAAAGCTCGTCGTCTTGGTTACAAGGCCAAGCAGGTTTCTCCTCTTTTTCCTTTAGATTACTGTTTGCTGATGTTTTTTGATTTTGTTTTTTTGGTTAATTTTTGTTGATCTTTGACTATTCAGTTGTTTGCTGTGTTTTGTGATGAATGATTGCCGTTTTTGAATGCTTGATTTGAAATGTGCAAGTTTGGTTGAATTTTTTTATTAAAATGATGTTTTTTTGGATGAAATAGCGCGAATTTTGTGTTAATTGATTAATTTAAGGTGGTTTTTGGAGAGAAATTGTTCTAAACCCTAATGCATATTTTGAGGAATTGGACGGCTATGATGTTGATGAAGTTATCATTTTTCTGAATAAATATATATGTTGGATTGGATTAAAAGAGATAATGCATTGAAGATTGATGTTGGACAAGTATAGTGATATTAATTTTGTTTTGTTGCTGCATTTTACACAGAATAATTGATGTTTTTTTTTCTCTATTGCGTAGTATTATCTAGCCATTGGAAATTATAAATGAAAGGGCTTTTTCAGATTTCTTTTTAATTTGGTTTTTGTAGCGCTAATAGTGTATGGACTGATTGCATTTACATGTATGTTGGTAATGATGCTTCAATTTCACTTAAATATGATTAATTTTTATAAAGAAAAACATTTTTATTAGGTGAGTTTTACATTGTTGTGGTTTGTTTTAATCACCAGTTTGTTTGCACCATCTTATAGGGTTGTCGTAAAGCTTGTTATAATTATCATATTTCTGACCCCTTGGATCAATGCAATAGGATTATTAGTAGAATTGAACATTATCTTGTGTTAGCTTTTGGTTTGGTATTAGAGAAATTGGTCGTATTGTCTCAAGCTTGTTTCTGTATAGCTTTGTGCAGGGATGTTTGTAGAAATGTTTTTAGTGTTGAGCAGAAATGCTGCAGTTGTGCACTACTTTTCGCATTATTACTTATGAAAGTTCTTTTGTCACAATTGTAGGGTTTTGTTGTTTACCGTGTCCGTGTGAGGAGAGGTGGTCGCAAGAGGCCAGTTCCTAAGGGTATCGTTTATGGTAAGCCCACTAACCAGGGAGTTACCCAATTGAAGTTCCAGCGCAGTAAGAGGTCAGTTGCTGAGGAGCGTGCTGGTCGCAAATTGGGAGGTCTCAGGGTCCTCAATTCTTACTGGATCAATGAGGTTTGTTGTCCTAGTTCAATCTTATGGCTTGAATGTTCATTGTTGTTGATTTTGGTTTTGTTGTATTGTAAGTATCTAATGTTTAAATTCGTGTTTTGGTAAGCTGTTAATCTGTATATGTTTCGTTATATTTTAGTTTTTCATTCTTCTTCACCCCTGATAATTGGATTCCCATTTATCTCTTGAATCATGTGATTATTAGGTTTTCTATGATGTTCATATTGCTTAAAAATTCACTAGCTGAAAAATGTGATATTATGCCTGAACTTGAAATAGACTTGAGATAGGCTTATAAATGAATGACTTTGCTTCAAAATTTTGATATAAAACCCTCTAAAGTTGTTGGCCTTATTACCTTGCCAGAACCAATTCAGGATAGGGGAAAAAGTATTAGTCTACTAGAGTAGAAATCTAAGCTGACGAATTGCTCTTGTATTATGTACTAACAAAATTTGTGTAATGCCCTTTGTCTTGCAGGATTCCACCTACAAGTACTTCGAAGTCATTCTTGTTGACACTGCACACAGTGCTATCAGGAACGACCCAAGGGTCAACTGGGTCTGCAACCCAGTGCACAAGCACAGAGAGCTCCGTGGTCTTACCTCAGCAGGAAAGAAGAACAGAGGTCTCCGTGGCAGAGGACACCGTTACCACAAGGCCAGGCCTTCTCGCCGTGCAACCTGGAAGAGGAACCAAACACTCTCTCTTCGCCGTTACCGATAATTGTCTTCAATCAAAGTTGCTTTTGTTATCAGATATGGAATTCTATTTGGAGTACTTCTTAGCTATGTTGAAATTTCTGCCCTTGAGGTCTAGACTTCTGAATGGTTTTAAAAATTTTGTTCCGAGAATTATGTTTGATATCTTTTAGTTCAACTGTCTGCACTCAGCTTGATCTTATATGAATACCTGGATGCTTCTTAATTTTGTGCTTGTGTACTGTTTTTCTTAACTCCTACTTTTGGGGATGCCTTACCACCAGTTTAGGATAAGCTGGATAACCTATTTGAGAAGCTGAGACTTGAGACTGTGATGCCCCTGGCTTGCGAGACTTTGTAGACGTCTTATGTGCTGGGTTTCTGCGTCTACTTGATCTTGAGTAGAGCTGTCCATTGAGCTGGTCGTGCAATGGTGTTCTAAATGGTGTTTCTATCTGCTCTTTTAACACTTGCAACAACTTGCATATCAGTTAATCAGGGAAAATGGCAAAGCTAAAAGTGAAAAATTAAGCGTGACATCGACACGTAATTTTATTACGCATTGCCAAATTCCTTTGGTTGTCCTAGGGTTGCATTTGCATATGGCCATACATGGTAATTGTAGACCTGTAATTCTACCATAAATCATGTTGAAATCATAGACTTTAAAAGGTAAACACTCTTTAGTAGTAGTGTAGTCTGCATTTCTATTCCTTGGACAGTTGGACCAGCACACTTTTTCCTGAAATATGCCCTTTTTTCCTCTCATCTTTCCCTTTATTATTCGAGAACCTTGACAAGTTGGCATCTTCTGCTCTGCATTATTCATAAAAACTTTACCATTTGGCAATTGGTTTGGGTTTTCAATATTAGGAGTTAGGACCATCATCAACAATTAAATTCAATTGGGTGTTTACAGATTGATATTCGGGTGCCACAAATCAAACCCTAAAGGACTAAACCTTTATTTGGGAAGAAAATCATAAGATTTTAGGTAAATGAAGTTAAAAATCTTTCTAATCTTTTTGAGTTCAACGAATTACTACATTGACCATAAAATATAATTCGTATAGAGGAATTAACCAACTCGATCAGAATAACCCGATTGCTACCATGACATAATAATCCATCACATGTACTAGCACAAGCAAAACACGAGTATATCCTGTGCATATAATACAAGTGGCGCGTGATGTATACAAATTCTCATAATCCGTGCAACCACCATATGATATATACATATGCTCTATTTATGGAGCACACATACAACATGTTGGCATGAGGCAGCTTCACCTAAACGCTAATACACAAACACAACACTAGTACAATTCCGCTCTTGACTAGGATTTGTGATGCACATTGTTTTAATCACACCCTATACTCCGTTTGTTTTACTTTTCGAACTAGGAAAATTCAATAAACTAAACAACTTGCAAAGACTTTAGACTTTTAAGTCAAGCTAACCTTTTTCTCACGTTCTCAACTTTCCATATTTTGTAAGGAGTACATTAGTTTATTTGAATAACTATTTCCACATAATTTTTTATCATTATTAGAGTTTTTTTTTTATGTTTCGTAATTTTATAACATTTTGACTTTTACGTTTACTTTTGGTAATATAGGACTACTCCAAGAATGTTAATAACTACAAACAACTCAAATGAAATAACTTAGCATTAATTACCACAAGAGATTTTAATTCGACGAAGTTTTTTTTTTATTAATTTAAAAAAAATTAATTTCTTTTTAAATACATTAGATAAGATTTATACAAAATTACATTTACTCAGGTATTATACATTGATACTTATCTAATACAGAATAATATTGTAATATACGTACTTTCCAAAATTATAAAAACAAAAATAAGATAAAATCATAGTGATGCGTAGGGGTGTACAAAAATTGGCCCGGACCTGAAACCGGACCTGAACCGACCTGAACCGGACCGGACCTGACCCGGACCTATTGATTCAGGTCCGGTCCCGGTTCTTAAAAATCCAGGTTTCCGGTCCCGGTCCGGACCCGGTCCAAACCCGGGGTTTTCAGGTCCGGACCTGAAACCCGGGAAAATCGTAATTAAAAAAAAAAAAAAAACAAGAAAATATCTGATTCTCTCAACCTCCCTCAATCTCTTTCATATTTTTAAGTTCTAACCCTAACTCCCTAAGCCCAAACTGATTCTCTCAGCCTCCCTCAATCTCAACTTCTCAACGCGGCTGTCCGGCTGTCCCAACTCGCTCCGGCCACCGCCCACTGCCGACACCTCCCTCATTCTCTCAGGCGATGCACACCGATAATATCTGGTAAGTATTTGCTTATAATTTTGGTATTTTTAATTCGAAATAATAAATTAAGTGTGAGAATTTATATGTTTATTCTTGTTTCAAATTTTCAATTGCTTTTAATGATTGTTTGATGTTTGCATGTTGAATTTCTTATTTTTAGTTCATCTCTTTCGAATTTCTGTTTTTTTTTTTTTTGGTTTTTTTGAGTTTAGGGTTCATAAGAATTAAGAAGTTTAGGGTTTAGGGTTCAAGTGCGAAATTTAGTTCGAAATTTTGTGTTTATTATGATTATTAAGATTAATTTAGTGCGAAAATTTGTGTGGTAGGGTGGGTTGGGGTGGGGTTATGGTGGGGTTACGGTGGTACGGTTCTGGTGTGTGGGGGTTAAGGGTTAAGGGGTGGCAGTGGGGTGGGGTGGGGTGGGTTGGGGTGGTGAGCTGGGGTTTTTGGGATGGCTGGATGGAAAATTGTGAATGTTGATGGGGTTGTCGGGAGTGGAGATGGGGTGCTTGGTTTTGCCTATTGTTGGTCCTGTTGCAGCAAAAAACCCGACAGATTAAGATCTTGAAGGAAGGCCAAATACAGAGGAGTATGATAGAAGGGTAAAAGTAGTGAAATATAGGAGCTGGACAGATGAAAGAGAATACGAGGGTGGTAATGAGGGGGAAGTGCTGCCTTTGCCCATACTGCACTACCAATTCGATCCATAGAATAATGAGGTAGCAATTATCAAGCTTATATAAGTACGTCTTGAAGGATAATACAAGGAAAAGGATCAATGCTGCAGTAAGCAAGGTAAGTTTGAAGAGGCTTTGTAAGGAGGGATAAGAGGAAAAGAAGAGGAAAACTTCTGGCCTAGACATATTGATGATAATTAAGAGGATCCATTTTAGTTCAAAATAATTAACTTCTTGATTTTTGACTGTTTTCAGGCATATTTTAGTGGTTTTTTTTAGAAGAATGATGATTTTTTTTTTTTTTAGAATGCGAGGCTGTTGAGTTTACGGTTTCCCTGCTATCCGCCTTTTAAATGCAAGTGCTGAAACATGTTATTACCTATGACCTTCAGCTGGTGTCATCCCTTTTAAAAGTTAAAAACATTATCAATTGGCATCGAAGAAATTCCTATGTGGATCCTATATGACGTAATATGCCACTAAGTGCACATTTTCAACCGAACTCAACTTTAGTTTTCTACCTAACTTTATTTTTCCAGTTTGTAGTAGTTTAGTTTAAACCTACAAGTTTTTTGTTTGTAGTTGTTTGTTCTTTAGTTTTGGTTTGAGATAAAATGTTTTCCTGGAAAATAATTTTCTCATCTTTTCCATTTTTCTTTGTTTGGTTTGTGAATGGTGGAAAACAATTTTTCCCAATGTTAAAATTTTGCATCATTAATTTATAAGGTATGAATTCAAGGAGAATTGGACAAGAAACTCTATTTACATTTGAAAAACTTGTATGAAATACTTAAACCCTCTTCACTGTAGTTTTTTTTTTTTTTTTTTTTTTTTTTTTTTTTTTTTTTTTGAAACCTTTTAAATGGAAGTTAAAGGTTTATAATGTTCTCTCATTTTTTTCTTAACATAAATTTCAGAAAGTTGAAAGTATTTCTAATGTGTATTGATATTTCTAATGTGTATATATGGACACTTTTTAAGCTAACTTATACTTTAAAATTTGTGTTTATTCCTGCTAGGCTGCTAAAAGTATGGACTCAGATTATTAAGATTAAATAAGTTGGCTAACCTGTGTGTAGTTCAGGGGTTCTTATTTTTGTTTTTATTCTTGCAGGGAGTGAAGGAAGTCAAGGAACCACGGATTCTTATTCTTGCAATGTAAGTTGCTCTTAAATTTTTTTATAAAATGGTATGTGTATATAATTGTTACTTTAAAATTACTTATATTGTATATAATTATATTGTAGATGGAGAGCTCTCAATCCAAACGATCTGCTTCTTTTTCTGAACAAACGTCACAGCCACTTTCTGAAAAGGATATGGAAGAATTGCAATCTACTTTGCCTCCTGATAAGAAGCTAAAAGCGGGGCGGGAATATATATGGAACAGAAAAAGTAAGAGGAAAGCTGAGTATTGGAAATATTACTTAGAGTACGTCGAGAATGGAAAACTACGAGCTGAATGTAAGTTCTGTCCTAAATCTTTTGCTGCTGATGGTAATCTTAATGGTTCAAAAAATGTTAAAAACCATGCAGAATCATGTCTCGGTAATCCTATTAATATAGAAAAAGAAAAGGGCAAAGAAAAGCAAACTAAATTGTATTTTGATCAAGAACATGAGAGTAGTGAATTAAAGTGTGGGAGTAGGATTATTAACTTGAATGATGTTAGAGAGGCATTGATTCACATGATTATTGTTGATGAGTTACCATTTAAGCATGTGGAAAAACCCGGTTTTAGGCACTTTGTGCAAGTTGCATGTCCACAATTTCACATTCCATCTCGTGTTACCATTGCTCGTGATTGTTTAAAGTTGTATTATAGTGAAAAAGAGAAATTGAGAGAAATGTTTAAGACATGTCAAAGAATTTCTGTGACCACTGATACTTGGACTTCAATACAAAGAATTAATTATATGTGTCTTACAGCTCATTTCATTGATAATGACTGGAAATTGAATAAAAAGATCATAAATTTTTGTCCAATTTCTAGTCATAAAGGAGAGGCTATTGGAAAAGCAGTTGAGGCATGTTTAGAGTATTGGGGTATTGATGATAAACTTTTTACTGTCACTGTTGATAATGCTTCTTCAAATGATGTTGCTTGTGCACACTTGAGTAGAATGGTTAGAAGAACAGGATGTATAAATGATGGAAAAAATCTTCATGTTAGATGCATTGCTCATATCATTAATTTAATTGTGTGGGATGGTATTAGAGAACATGGTGTGTGCATTGATAGAGTTAGAAATGCTGTGAAA